ATTGAAGGAGGAAAGCGAACATGACCATTCAAGTAAGATTAATATTCGCTCCTATTCTCTTCGGTCTCTTAGGGCTGAATCAAACTCACCCAATATATTATCGCTAAGTCTATTACTTGCTGATAACAGTAAAGAGTGCGGAGTCTCTGACATTATCATTTGCCGGCAAGATTTATAAACTGGAAGAGTACATGAATAAGAGGACCAAGTAATTTATTCGTTCGAAATGATTACATTTTTGGACTTGCTTTGTGCATGTTGACAATGATTGATACTTCCTTTTCAAAATGTTTCAGCCAAGTTGGTGGTGGAGGCTAGCAAACTTGTGCCATGGCTTCGGGCTCAGCCTTCCACCATGCCATAGTGTCTATCGTCATATATGCAATGTCACCAATAGACAATTCAAGAGGCGAGCTCAAAACGTCGCCAAGGGACGTCAGCCATTGAAACATCAACGACACACTATTTACTTGTTTCACCTGCGGAATGCTGTGACTCGATGTTTTAAATTCATAAAAATGGGAAATTTTTTTAAAAGTCACATTCATGGGTTTTTTAGACAAATTTGATCAAATTTTAATTGTGCATAAGTTTTCCATCCGATGTTCTATTGACTCGATTTTTGTACCTACAGGTACGAAAAGCCCGTGTGTGCAAAAATTGAGTCAATGGGAAAAAAGACTTATCTTGAATATGTCGAGATGTTATTTTAAGTATAGTGTCACGGACTTTCCGTAGGTACAAAAATCGAGTCAATGAAAATAAGGACGTAAAAGTTATCATTTTAGAATTTATCCATCCAATTACTTTCGCCTCATACCATTCGTCTACTTGAATAGATGCTTTCTCCAAATTGAAGGAGGAAAGCGAACATGACCATTCAAAGATTAATGTTCGCTCCTATTCTCTTCGGTCTCTTAGGGCTGAATCAAACTCACCCAATATATTATCGCTAAGTCTATTACTTGCTGATAACTGCAAAGAGTGCGGAGTCTCTGGTATTAGCATTTGCTGACAAGATTGGTAAACTGGAAGAGTACATGAATAAGAGGGCCAAGTAATTTATTCGTTCAAAATGATTTCATTTCTGGACTTGCTTTGTGCATGTTTCCAATGATTGATACTTCCTTTTCAAAATGTTTCAGCCAAGTTGGTGGTGGAGGCTAGCAAACTTGTGCCATGGCTTCGGGCTCAGCCTTCCACCATGCCATAGTGTCTATCGTCATATATGCAACGTCGCCAAGGGACGTCAGCCATTGAAACTTCAACGACACACTATTTACTTGTTTCACCTGCGGAATGCTGTGACTCGATGTTTTAAATTCATAAAAATGGGAAAATTTTTTAAAAGTCACATTCATGGGTTTTTTAGACAAATTTGATCAAATTTTAATTGTGCATAAGTTTTCCATCCGATGTTCTATTGACTCGATTTTTGTACCTACGGGTACGAAAAGCCCGTGTGTGCAAAAATTGAGTCAATGGGAAAAAAGACTTATCTTGAATATGTCGAGATGTTATTTTAAGTATAGTGTCACGAACTTTCCGTAGGTACAAAAATTGAGTCAATGAAAATAAGGACGTAAAAGTTATCATTTTAGAATTTATCCATCCAATTACTTTCGCCTCATACCATTCGTCTACTTGAATAGATGCTTTCTCCAAATTGAAGGAGGAAAGCGAACATGACCATTCAAAGATTAATGTTCGCTCCTATTCTCTTCGGTCTCTTAGGGCTGAATCAAACTCACCCAATATATTATCGCTAAGTCTATTACTTGCTGATAACTGCAAAGAGTGCGGAGTCTCTGGTATTAGCATTTGCTGACAAGATTGGTAAACTGGAAGAGTACATGAATAAGAGGGCCAAGTAATTTATTCGTTCAAAATGATTTCATTTCTGGACTTGCTTTGTGCATGTTTCCAATGATTGATACTTCCTTTTCAAAATGTTTCAGCCAAGTTGGTGGTGGAGGCTAGCAAACTTGTGCCATGGCTTCGGGCTCAGCCTTCCACCATGCCATAGTGTCTATCGTCATATATGCAATGTCGCCAAGGGACGTCAGCCATTGAAACATCAACGACACACTATTTACTTGTTTCACCTGCGGAATGCTGTGACTCGATGTTTTAATTCATAAAAGTGGGAAAATTTTTTAAAAGTCACATTCATGGGTTTTTTAGACAAGTTTGATCAAATTTTAATTGTGCATAAGTTTTCCATTCGATGTTCTATTGGCTCGATTTTTGTACCTATAGGTACGAAAAGCCCGTGTGTGCAAAAATTGAGTCAATGGGAAAAAGGACTTATCTTGAATATATCGAGATGTTATTTTAAGTATAGTGTCACGGACTTTCCGTAGATACAAAAATTGAGTCAATGAAAATAAAGACATAAAAGTTATCATTTTAGAATTTTTCCATCCAATTACTTTCGCCTCGTACCATTCGTCTACTTCAATAGATGCTTTCTCCAAATTGAAGGAGGAAAGCGAACATGACCATTCAAGTAAGATTAATATTCGCTCCTATTCTCTTCGGTCTCTTAGGGCTGAATCAAACTCACCCAATATATTATCGCTAAGTCTATTACTAGCTGATAACGGCAAAGAGTGCGGAGTCTCTGGCATTATCATTTGCCAGCAAGATTGATAACAGGAAGACTACATGAATAAGAGGGCCAAGGAATTTATTCATTCGAAATGATTACATTTCTGGACTTGCTTTGTGCATGTTGACAATGATTGATACTTCCTTTTCAAAATGTTTCAGCCAAGTTGGTGGTGGAGGCTAGCAAACTTGTGCCGTGGCTTCGGGCTCAGCCTTCCACCGTGCCATAGTGTCATATATGCAACGTCACCAATAGACAATTCAAGAGGTGAGCTCAAAACGTCGCTAAGGGACGTCAACCATTGAAACATCAACGACACACTATTTACTTGTTTCACTTGCGGAATGCTGTGACTCGATGTTTTAAATTCATAAAAGTGGGAAAATTTTTTAAAAATCACATTCATGGGTTTTTTAGACAAGTTTGATCAAATTTTAATTGTGCATAAGTTTTCCATCCGATGTTCTATTGACTCGATTTTTGTACCTACGAATACGAAAAGCCCGTGTGTGCAAAAATTGAGTCAATGTGCAAAAGGACTTATCTTGAATATATCGAGATGTTATTTTAAGTATAGTGTCACGGACTTCCCGTAGGTACAAAAATTGAGTCAATGAAAATAAGGACGTAAAAGTTATCATTTTAGAATTTTTCCATCCGATGTATTTTTGAATTCATCAAATTGGGAAATTTTTTAAAATGCTGAATTTTGGCTTCTTTCGTTTCTTGAAAAATGTGAAATTTTTGGGAAACGTTTTCCCTATAATCATTTTCGAGGAAACTGATAATATTTTTCGGTGTTCGGTTAAGACCTAACAATAAACTTAAAAATATTTTCCGTCATTTAGTATGGAAAATCCTAATTACACTCCTTTTAATAATTTTTTTAAAAAATAAAATTTTTAATTACTTGAATTTTGAATTTTTTAATATTTCTTTTTTTTCTTTTTTTTTTTCCTTTTCTTTCTTCCTCTGCTAGTCGCCAGCCACAGGCAAGGCAAGGCTCGGCCTTGCTCGAGTTCACTGGCCTTGGGCGAGCGAGGCCGAGCCTCGCTTGTGGCCGATTGCGAGCCGGCGACCGGCCGAGGAAGAAGAAAACAAAAAAGGAAAACAAGAAAATAAAAGAAAAAATAATTAAAAATTAGTTTTTTTAAATTAAAGAATAAAAGAAAAAATAAAAGTAAAAGTAAAATATGTTTGGCGAAAGAAAGTGAGGTGAAAGAAGATATGGAAAATGTGTTTCGCTTTTTCCGCTTTTGAAGTTGTTTTCAACGTTGGTGGAAAATATTTTCCTTGATTAATTTATTTTTCGTGAACTGAACGTCGAAAAATCTGAAAAAAGTTTTATTGAAACTTGTTTAACGTGAACAAACGGAGCCTTTATGAAGAATTATTTGTAATGAGTTTGAAAATTGTTGGTAGTCTTTGTTAATTAACGCATCTCATATCTATATAAGGAAGATTTCACAATCTTAATCAAAGAATTTCGTTCGAAATTTTTTTTGAATAGAATAATTATATATAACATGAGGATATTAGAGATTAAACTTTAGAGAATTGTAAATAAAATTTCTACAACATCGTAACTTTATTTTATTCTTTTAAATAAGAATTTCAATCATCGAATTTATTATAATATTCGAATTTTAGAGGACTTTCGTAAGAAAAATGGTAAGTAAACTTTGTTGATCTGGACACAAAAGAAGAAACAAGAAGATTGATTTATCCACCTTAGAGGAATGTTTTTTTGTTTTTTTTAAGGGTTAATACCATAATATCAACCTTACCCAAAAAAAATACCATAATATCAAGAAAAATCCCAAACTGGTATATCTATGATAAATTTATCCCCAACTAATTTTTTGACCATTAAAAACCCCAAACTGGTAAACCCGTGACAAATTTACTCTCCGTTAATTTCCGTTAAATCTTACCATAAAATTGCTAAGTTAGATGACACGTGACAGTTGAAAGGTATACCAATTTAGGATTTTACCCCTCCGTTTCTCACATGTTTACTAATTTGCTATTTTTCAATGGTATTAATCAAATTTAACGGAAGGTAAATTTGTCATAAGTGTACCCGGTTTGGGGTTTTTGGTGGTAAAAAAATCAATTTAAGGTAAATTTAAATTTGTTGCAAATACACCGGTCTAGGATTTTTAGTGGTCAAAAAATTAATTTGGGGTAAATTTATTATAAGTGTATCAATTTTGGATTTTTCGGGGAATTATCCCTTTTTTTTTAATCAACTTTATTATTAATGAGTGCTCAATTAGTGTTATTTCGAACACATACACATGTGAGAGTGAGCAAGGAGTCGGCAAGCTGAGGGAAAAGCCGAACCGAACGAATTCTTCCCAAAGCCATGTCCAGTTGTCCACCGGAAATGTCGCCGAGATTCAAGCTGCTGGCGACGCCGCCGAGAATCAAGCTGGCGACGTCGCCGATATTCGAGCTGCCGAAGATGCCGAGAATCAAGCCGGCAACATCGCCGCCGCAAGACTCCCCCCGCATGCTCATCAATAGCCTGGTATGGACGTCGTCGAGATTCAAGTCTTCGCTGAGTGAATCGTGAAATGTACAGTGAGATGCAGTCCACCGGAGAGGAAGATCCCGGCGACGAAGGCAACGGGCTATTGAAGAGGTGAGTCTCGATTGAAGTAATCTGTAATTTTTTGGTTCTTCGATTCGTGAAATCCGAGTGAATCGTCGTAAATGTACAGTGAGATGCAGTCCACGATGCCGGCGACGTCGCCAACAAGTTTTATTGAAGAGGAAGCGGTGAGTCTCGATTGAAGTAAATATGTAATTTTTTTTATTTTTCATTTCGTGAAATCTGGGTGAATCGTAAATGTACAGTGAGATACCGTCCACCGGAAAGGAGGAAAGCTTGACTTAGGCACTATACGCAGGTGAACTGTTGGGAGACTATCAATTGAAGTTGTGTGAAATGCGAGTTTCCATTCATGTATTGAAGAATTGTTTTGTAGCTTGTTCTCGGAATCGAGAGTGAACTGCGGAATTGCAGAATCAGCTTGAGCGAAATAGGTAAATTTCTGCAGTTTAGCTCGAGCGAAATAGGTAAATTTCGCTAAACTGCATGTTTCATTACAATGTTTTGGGATTACTCCGAAAGATGCTATGCAGTGCGAAAACAGATTCAGGGATGAGAGTGCAAAGTTGGACGAACTTCTTCTCAAGTACAAAGCTTCTTATGTGCAGGCTTTAGATGGTAACGTTATTTGGTTGTAGAACACCATGTTTCTACGCACGCACGCACTGCAAACATGTACAATATGCAATTTGTGAGAATGGTTGAAAAACTGAATGTTTCCCCGGTAAATTAGCTTGTTACATATGATGATCTTGGCTTGTGTGATTTACTTTCCCCTCATACCATTTGTCTACTTCCATAAATCCTTTCTCTAAGGAGAAGCAATATAAAGAGTCAAGTAAGATTAAGATTAATAATTACTCCTATTCTTTTCGATCTCTGAGCGTTGAATCAAACTCAGCTGATATATAATCCATAGTCTATTACTTACTGATAACAGGACAGGCTGAGGAGTCTCTCATATTATCAATTGCTGGTAAGATTGATCAAATAAAATAGGCCTTGGAAAAGAGGGACCAGGTAATCTATTCGAAATACATATTACATTTTTGGAGTTACTCTGTGCATGTTCACAGTGATTGACACTTTCTCTTCGAAATGCAGGATGATGATGTTTTAGCCAAGTTGGTGGTACAGTCTGCCAAACTTCTGCCAAGGCTTCGGGCTCAGGCTCCCCATGCAGGACGATTCGAAAGTAACGAATTAACTACTTGTTTGCTTGCTCTTTAAAGCAACAAGTCATATGGGCACCACTTTAATATGATCTTTGGAATTTTCCCTTTATTTTGCGGATATTGCTACAGCTATGGCTACTGGGAAGCTCTAGATATTATGATTTTATTCTGCTACAGTGTCGTTTCTGATAACTTATATGTGGCATCGAGGAGTTGTGCGTAACTAGTGTCAACTTACATCTTTATCTATTTAGTTAGACGATTAATAGCACTTTTTTGAAATGAAGAATGGATTTGCTGAAAGAGCACAAAACGAACCGCGCCAAATTCCAGGTGACTACAGCGTAAACACTGGCGCTGAGCTTTCTTGGCTTCGTATGTAAAGAATTTTTCCTCCTGCCGTCATTCCGAGTCGTCTTCTTTTTCTTTTGCTACGATTTAGATCATTGATTCCATGTGACGAGACAATGCTTGGACACTGCGAGAAAGTATAAATTTGTATCCCGTGGAAAAGGATGTTCATGCGGTGCTTTAAGATGAAATATTCGTCGAGATGTCTATGGATGTCTCTAACTGCATCCTGGATGCCGTGTCACATTAGTAAGTGATGGATTTTTCGACCCAAGAAAAGAAAGTCCTGGATTTATGTTGCTGGAAATATAAGGTGGTTAACGATCTGCTTGAGGGAATTCATCTGGTTACTGCAGCAGAGGCAATTTGTTTGGGCGTCAAGGCTGGTATTCATCCTTGGATTATCCATGACATTATTTCTAATGCCGCTGGAAATTCATCTGTGATTTCACTTCAGGCAATCATAAGTGATGTTGTTACCAGGCAGTCAAATCACACCTGTTCGCTGTCATTTTTCCGTTGTAATTCATGGCACGTTGCCCAGAAGATCACATCGGGGAGTCATTTTAAGCATCTCTTGAACTATCTTTAAAGGGTTGGGATCCTCTCAATTACTTGACTCAATCTAGGCATCCCGGATCATGCCATTGTACCTTGGAAAACAAATGTGTAAAAGACAATGACTCTTGCTTCCAATGTGCAACTTGTGAAGTTGTGCTTTCATGAAACAATAGCTCAAATCGAACCTAAGATGTCACTGTGTCCTAGTGGACTTTTATTGTACTTGTCTAGTTGTCTTTTCTTGAGCGTTAACTTTGAAAGCTATCATTAGTGTCTTTCGACTAGGTTTAGCACTAAGCGCCGAGCAACCGATGTTTCAAACATGAAACGACTGGTGAAACACTCACGAAGTTCCTGTCATACACGACTCACTCATTCACAATTCTCCTTCTGAGTACCTCCCAAGCTAAATTTTCTCACTCAACCATCTCAGGATAAATTTGGGATTTCCAGCCTGAAATTGCACTCTAGGAATCCTAAGCGCCGTCTCACTAAAATTTGATATAATGCCAAATAAACTTCCGATTTGCTGGTAAGATGTACTAGTCTTAAGGACCAATGACAATCATGCAACGAGATTCAGAGTCTGGCAGAAGGGGGGGATAAAAGGCTAACAAAATTTGCATATAACAATCCCTAGCTTAAGACTTCGCTCTATACCCCACAGCTAAGGGAAAAGAACAATCACCTGTGCAGAGCTCTAAATGTATGTGTCCAGTATTTGCAAGCATCCCTCAAGTTTCCTATGTGACATGACTCCAAGTAGGATCCGCCCGGCCTCTCCCTGCATTACCATTTTCTCTTCCGTTGGAAAAGACCTTTGAATTGCCACCAAGCCTCGATGTTCGGCTACAATGACTCCTTTGGCATACCTGGAAATACCCAAATGTCTGAGGACCAAGTCAAGAAAATGTTAGAAAATAACAAAAAACAAACATTGGATAATCACTAGAAATTAAATGAAGTGATACCTCCATATCCAACTTCCTTTGTTCAGATATTTTCGGCTTCCTTGGCGCAGGTGTACCGGTCGCAAGTGAGTAAAAAAAGTCATTCTTCACATAACCAGGCTACCATCCAAACAGGAAAAGACATCTCCATTTCAAAAGAAAGAATGAAAGAGAACCTGTAACTCTTTAAGCTCACTATGATTCACCTTCTTATCCAATTTCATTGCAGCATCTACATGCTCAGCATCCTCAGCAGGAAGATCACAACCATCTGCTTTCGTCTTTAGGTGAGCTTCGTTCTGCTTGCCAAGTTCACCCCACACTTCGTCCTTGTTAAATTTCTTGTTCATTGCCACGAAATCAAAATCCTTGGCATATTTGGCAGCCAAATGTGGAATCTGGAAATGAAAAGAGAACCCATAAAGATGTGCGATCAGACCCTAAGGAACGTTAAAAGACAGAGAGTGAAGGCAACGTGAGTATTCGCTGATCCGGCATGGATCCAAACTAACAAATGGTAATCCATGTAAAAGCACAATTCAAGATACAATCTTTTTCAGACTCGTATAAACAATTCATACATACATATCTCTTTTGCTGAATCTCTATGACATGGATCCTATTGTAAGATGATCCATACAGCCCCAATTAGTGAGAAACGGACCAAATGTTATTGTTGTTGCAGATGCATCCATCCATTTCGAGGGAGATTTTGAACAAAAAAGCTCGTATATAACAAAACCTCAAAAAGCAATATTATTGAACACTCAAAGAAGTAAAAAATTCTTTTACGTCCTCCAAATGTTTATATCAAAAACTACCCGTAGCTATTCCTTTTCTTTTCACAGTATCTTGATAGTGATGTACAAAATCACTAGAGAACTCAGATTTTAAATGGAATACCCCTGATAGCAACTTGCAGCAATATTTGCATGCCAAATGATTTACTCATCCAACTGATGACGAAATTTAATTATAATTTGACCTCTACTCTTCTAAATTACCAATTTTCACTTCTAGTTAGTGTTTTCTCCATTTTCTTTTATTTTCCAGCTTGTTTGCGATTGCAATCAATATTGTCAACCAGTTGGTCTATGTTTTTTACCTTGTATATTGTCTGTTCATAAAAATGATTACGATTACTAATTCGAATTTCTATTTTTTTAAACTCTTATGCAACAAAGTTTATATGTTTCAATTTAATTATTTTGTGAATTTCATGTGTATCGTCCAATTTCTTTTGGCTCGCAAGCTAATCATTTCTACACATTATTTGTGGTACTCTTCTTACTCATATATGGTACATTTGTTGGATATTCATCTTTAAGATTTTCATCATTTTGCTTTCCACATCTTTGAAACTAAACCTCTTTTTTGGGCTTTTAGTTTTAGGAAGTGCTGTCCACATTTTAGAGGTCATGTGTGTTACCCCTTTTTAGCTTTCTATATTGTTTGTTGCTTTCTACGTGCATCTTACTAATTGCTGCTAAGTTTCAAGACATTCATTAGAATCAGAAGAGGAAGTCATATCGCATCTTCTCCTTTTCCTTGAGCAATTCCTTTATTATGGTGATAACAATCAGTAGCAGCTCCAATCAACTACACAGCAGTGAAGAGCAAAAGCAGCATTGAACTCAAACTACTCATGTCATGGGGCTATACAAACAATTATGAAAAAAAAATGTGATACCTTCTTTCCTCTTCCCACTGAGATGCTCTTACTAGTTTGATGATGCTGCCTGCCAGCCCTATCTATCTGGAGCTACCCAGGAAATATAGAAGGCACAGAATCAAATATAATATGCAAACAGGTTTGAGGTGGAAAGGGAAAGTACGTGACAAATCTCAAACAAAAAGATATCTAGTATTAGTATTACCTTCTTTCCTCCTTTCCCTGAATTGCTTGTGATTTGGTTGGTTCTTGACTCGGCCTTAGTCATCTGGAACACGTGATAACATGGAATGAAAAGAATGAGCTGCACTTTTCTCTATCTCCAAATTAAGTGATAGTTGGCAGAAATGACAAGAACATTGAGAGGTATCTGTATACCCTGTTTTCCCTTTCCCATGGTTTGGTCTTAGAGATTGGAAGAGTCCAAGAATCAGCTCTGTTGATCTGATAGAAAGTTGATGGTGTAATAACAAGAAACATACAAGTATAAGGACACGCAAAGACGGCAAACAAAACCACTGGGCTTCTGTGGTTGGGGTGAAGACACCTTCAGGACCTACAACACGATGTTCTAAACGGTCATGAGAAAAAATTGGAAAAAGCCATTATACCCTCTTTATTCTTTCTGCCACCTTGCTCACAGCAACTCTCGGATTCTGTACATTAGATTGTCTCATCTGAACGTTAAACAAATAGATCTCAAGGCAAACCCATGAGTCTGATATAAAGAAAGAGAAGCTAAATTCAGAAAAGCTCATAGATAAAAGCTTTACCTTCTCTCCTTTTCCCTCTCCAAAAGCTTTATGATTGTTAGTGTACTGAGGAGCACCTTTATGCTGTAAGAGAGAGAGAAAGGCCTCTAGTTAATAGTAGTTATAGACACTCACATGCATTAGAAAACACATATAAGCATGTGACAATTTGCTCTGTGAATGTGTGATACCATCTTTCCTCTTTCTGCTGACTTGCTAGCAAAACTGTTATGATTCTGCAGATTGCCCTTATACGCCTGAAATAATGGATAAAGCCAAAGATTTTAAACTGTGAAGAGAACGAGAAGGCAATTTCAAGGCAAACAATATGGACTGGCAAGTTCACAGAAAGAAATATCTTTACTGTGCTTCCCTTTGCCGGACCATTAGCTTTATGACTGTTATTAGAGTCTAAAGTGGCGCTATTATGCTGATAAAAGGAAGCAGAGGAAGGAGCAGAGGCTCTATGAAAATCCAATTCTGAAAAAGAGATTTAGATATAACAAAGGCTGGATAGAGAAAAGAATGATAAGAATTAACAAACAGACATACGTTAGCTTTGCCCTCTCTATTATAGACACAATAAGGGTAATGTTTGAAAAGAATACCAGAAAGTTGCTTATTGAGAAAGTATGAGAGACACAACTCCAGAGATGCAGAGTAAAGGCATCTCTTTAAAAAGTTAGATACATCTACAACAGCTAAGCGAGAAACTGCAAAGCACATAATCTTCACCGGCTCATTTACATAAAATCTTTGGCTTCAATAAGCCAAAATGAGGTGGGAAGAGGGCGTAAGGACAGCTAAGGGAATGCAATCAAAACAGGGTAAAAGACGTCCATGAACATGATCTATAAAATGTGGGGGCTTCTTTTGGTTTCTATTTCCTTTTCAACCAGATTACAAATGTAACAGCCACTAAAGATGCAATATATTGTCAACTAAATCACTTTTTTGTTAGTGCAACCTATTCCAAAAAACCACTAGCGAGCATGTAAAACAAATAACTTTTGGAGGAAAAGATGTGTCAAGAAAAGTGAAGGCAGATAAAATTCAGAGTTTCAAAAGGTCCTCCGGCTGATCTAGAGAGCACAAGTCGTGCAATGAAGCATAATAAAACTAGATTCAGAACCCATCTTACTAGCCATGGACAAGTTTCCTCACTCACATAGATGCATCGTATTAGACCGAAATGACCACATGAAAGCTCCAATATATAGATGTTACAAATCTGAAATATATCACAACAGCAATTGACAAGAACGAGTAAAAATCGTAAGTTCATAAGGAGATAAAGCGCCTTTTTCTCCAGGAATGCAATATCACTTGACGGAGCAACTAGAAATTCAGGTGCTTCTTTTTTAATAAAGGAAAGAGGCAGTGAAGCAAGAGACCGAAAGAGTCTTTCAAAACTGAGGACAAAATGCGAAAATATAGTTTACTGGACAATAGTCAAAGCAAAACAAAAAAAATTTCTTTTTAGAAATAATACTGCTAGTATACTGGAAAAAATAGCCAAAAAGTTAAAAGTTGCCCCAATTAAATACTTGTCATGGACAAGACGTTATAAAGGATGAAAAGGAAAAATTAGTTCATTCAATTGAAACATTAAGACTCGCGATTGCTTGTAAAGGAATGGTGGACTGGAGTTTCCGGAAGATGAGCATAAACTAGACAGGTATTTAACAAGATAAAAGCCAAGTATTTAATCTCTATAGCTGAGAACAAGAGAGTAAATACAACTTTTGTTCTAGTCTAGTGTTTCAAAACATACTGGAGGGTGAAAAACACAATAATTACCTCCCGAACGATGCACCCAATTTTTGATATATTAACAAGAGATAACTGAAATTCCACATAACATAATTATATAATCATAATCCTCTGGCCTCAACTAAGCCACAAGCGAATAAAATCCAGATATAGCTTGTATCAAATAATGTGCTGAGGTTCATACATCATGTAAAACAGATACATGGATGTCATTCCGTAGCTCTCATATCTACCTCTATGCATAAGCTACTCTCTGCCACTGAATACCAGCACTTGCACCATAAAACGGGGGCAACAGCTCGGTGCATTCAAGGATTACTACTTTGATGTTTCAAAGTTTCTAGAAAAGTAAACTAGCTTCAGTGGTGCTATCTTATCTATTTTGCGAGAACAAACTTAGGTAGAATCAAGCCTTTGCCTATCGGGAGTTTACAGGAAGAGCAGCCCACAGAGTCCCACCTTTCTTTTGCTTGGTTCCCATTTTTTCTTTCAGGTGTGTTGAGGATGGGGGTTTAAAGGTGGATGATTATCACTTAGACCAGTAGTAGGTATAATCAATATGCATCCTTAGGTAATATCTAGTATTCGTCTTAAGCTAGTTTAAAACTATACAATATGCAAATTACTATTTTGAGAATCACAATATCACATATATGAACTGAGTCAATAGAGGAGGAAAAACCTTTTTGGTATGCGGTTTTGGAAGAGGCAAAATGGGTGCCTGAGCACCTGTTGGTTCCCTTGGCAGCGATCCAGAAGTCAAAGATTTAACGACCTCTTTATCTTCATGAGCACTTCTAGAAAAATGAGATGAAGAAAGTGGATGGGCGGCGGGCCCCGGTTTCAAAAATTTGACTAGGGGTCATCAGTGATGGCTTCAAATTCTCCATATGATTTGGACTGCCTGATTTATTCATACGCAACGTAGCTAGAGGCAAACTTTCTGGAGCCAACCCAGACCCTCAGACTAAGTTTGCTCCATGGATAACTTGAGGTATGGGGTTAACATTCAGACCAGCAGTACTAGAACACTTTGCCGCCGAAGACATTGACGTTATACTAGAATTCAACAAATCCTTTGCCACACTAGGCAATGTGTCTGAAATCAATAAAGCAGGATCCGATGGCAGATCCGAGGGAATCAAAATTGGTGTAGATGTCAAAGAATCCATGATAACAGGGGGCTTCAAAGAAGCAGATAATCCATAAGTTGCTGCAACACTCATTGTCAACGGATTTGTTACCGGATGTTGCATTGGTTGCTTAATATGATATGCAGCCAGACCGGGCGAAACTGCTGTTGAGGATAAGGGACTTCCCCTGTACTCCTACCAAATTCTTGCCCATGAAATAGCATGGGCTGACCAGCAGCAAGTGTATTTGTAGAAAGCAATGAACTGAATGATGTTAAGTTCTGCATGGGCTGATATGAAGAAAGACTCTGGTGGTCAGCCAACTTTGGAAGTCCTAAACTGGTGCTATTGGGTCTGCTGATTGTGGTGGCCTTTGGAGTGATTGCAGATGCAGATGAAGAGTGGAGGAAATAAGCCTGTATGAGAAGCTAATGCAACATGAATCGTTGGCTTGTTTCCATCTCAAGCACCAGATCAGAACATAAAGTTGAAACCTGTATGATGGCTGGATCATCTGGCAGGTCTGATGTAACCTCTTCTGGTTGAGACTCCGAAGATAAAATCTGCAATTCCCGCAACAGATGCACAAGCACGTTTGTTCCTCTCCTTTAGTCAGCCATGTGAATTTTAATACAAATATTGACATAAGTACATCAAAGAAATAGTTAGATCACCAAAACAAAGCTTCAGCATCTAGTAGTTACCAATGCTAGCATGATTCAGAATTACGAACTGCAATACTCCTGCGTTTATGAGCAACTATACTACAGGATAGTCAACAATACAATAAACGCTTTGCTTATATGCAATTCATGGATGGCAACTGTCCAAATATAAAGCCAACCTTTATGTCACTCCCCCTGAAATTTATGTACGGGAAAACTCTGTCATCAGGAAGGACCTGAGGACCATCCTTTCTGCGCCCTTCTGTTCCAAAAGATCTCACTGCAGTAAATGAATGGAGGATTCAGATGGTGGAATGACATTGGAAGTCTCTACCTGTCTACAATAACAAATATGCAGTCAAATGTTTCAAAAGCAACTCAAACCCGAAGCAACATGCAACAATAAGAACTAGAAACTTGCTGAAAGAAACAAAACGCACCAAGACCAATAAACAGATAAAATCATTGGATCTCATCAGTTGATGTGCTTCACCTAGATATCCTAACTCCAACTTCCGTTTTCCAAGTCCCGGGAAGAAAGTATGGTTGAAATTATATTCTTAAGGTAAGTGGTAACATACAGGGAAATCACTGAAGTGACTAAGCTATGATTTTGAATTACATGAAGCATATATGAGGCTTATCAGCGGGACAAAACTAACATATACACCTTCTTAGTTGCAGTGTGCTAGACTCCAGAAAGTAGAAGCCATTAAGCCCCCAATACCGAAAAATCAGCTCATAAGCTCTACTGCATCCAAGTTCTAAGTAAAGCATTTATTTATTTTTATTTTTTTGCAGCTAGAGATGTGAATACCAGATCACATCCCTGAAATGAATGTGCCATGAATTTCAGGCCAAGCTTCACAAAAGCAGTTCATGCTATAAGCACAGACGTTAATATTTTATATTACACTTTCTCTTGTTCTCTAAATATTTCTCCCATGAACTGCAACTTGCTCCTTGATGTTATAATCGCGTGATCATCGAAATTTAGCCACCAGCAAATTCGATATCATTGAACAATTACAATCATCCACCATAGGAAAATATTTGATCTCTCACGAGCACAGTCATCCTCTTGCTTCTACCAACACAGGTATAAACCCTTGGCTAAGCCAAAACTATCTTCGCACACTAACCATTCGTCTACACGGCAACGACACACGCATGCAAAATGTGCACGTTGTCATGAAAATACAAGACTGTCTATTTTAAACCAAATAATGTAAATTGTCTCCCTACATGTTCTTATTTTCGGTTCGTTTTTATACGAAATTTATTTCCTTAGTACGAAGGATTATTTGTAATGAGTTTGAAGGTTGTTGGTAGTCTTTAATGATGAACCCATCTCAAAAGTTCACTATCTTAACCAAAGAATTTCACTCGGAAAAGAATTCGAATAGAATAATTATACATATAACATGAAATTATTGGAGATTAAATTTTAGAAAATTGTAAATAAACATGGTAACTTTATTTTCTTCTTTTAAAACAGAATTCCAATCATCGAATCAATTACAATATATTCGAATGGGGTTAATTCAAAAAAAAAACACCAACTTTAGGTCTAGGGATAATTCTGACCCGAACTTTTTTTTGTCTCATAAAAAAGCACCAACTTTAGGTCAAGGGGCAGTTTTGGCCCGAACTTTTTTTTGTCCCGTAAAAAAGCACCAATTTTAGGTCAAGGGACAATTCTGACTCCAAATTTTTTTTGTCTTATAAAAAAGTACTAACTTTGACTTAAATCCCAAATCTGGCCCCCATTGACTTGGAACTATTGTTTATCTAACTTGACTATTCCACATTAGCAATAAATCCATGTGGCTTGCTAACTGGATTTAAAGCAATATTTATTGTCTTATTCTCTAAGCCACAATTTGAAGAATAACGGTAAAACTGTTCATCTCCTTCACTTCACTGACAAGTCAAAAATATCTCCAGATTGAATCTCTCCGGCCAAACGTAATCTGAAACCAACCACTGCCTATCGACAGATGCCATGGACGAAATTCGCCAAGCTCATCACCATAACCTTCTTTCTCAAACAATGGTGAAAGTCAACAGGGGGCCAGATTTAGGATTATGATGAAAGTTGGTGATTTTTAATGAGACAAAAAAAATTGGGGCCGAAATTGTCACTCAATCTAAAATTTGTGCTTTTTTACAGGACAAAAAAAAGTTCATGCCAGAATTGTTTATTGACCTAAAATTGGTGCTTTTTTATGGAATAAAAAAAAGTTCGGGTCAGAATTGTCTTTCGATTTAAAGTTGGTGCTTGTTTTTTGGAATTAGGCCTATTCGAATGATGGAGAATTCCGGTAAATAAAAAAGCAGTAAATCAGTAAATTTTTTGGATCCGGACTATTTTTTAATTATTTTTATTACGCTAGGTTATTTTTTGAAGAGTAGGGTGAGAAGACAGTCGGGGGAGGTGATGTCCCAGCAAAACGCCGACCCTCGACCTGTCTACAGGCGATTGAGAAGACGAGCTCCAAACGCCGCCGACGTCGCCCCTGCCGACGTCGCCATGAGCGATGCTACCGACGTTGGCGACGTCGCCCCTACCGGCGGCGCCGGCCCGAGTCTAGCTGCCGGCGGCGCCGGCGAGAGGGGAACGAAGAGGAAGCAGTGAGTCTCGATTGATTGAAGTTATTTGCATTGTTTACATTTCACTTTGTGAATGTGGATCGTATATGTACAGTGGGGAGATACAGTCCACAGGAGTGGAAGTCGGCCAGATGCCACCGCGCCAGATCCTGTTTGACGGGCGCGGGTGAGTCTCGATTATTTTTAATTTTTCATTTGGTGAAATTCTGAGCGAATCGTAAATCGTAAATGTACAGTTACCTGAAGTTCTTGGTAGAGCAACACCATCTCGTGCAAAAGGAAAACGACAGCCTATTATGCAGGTAAATTCATGAAGACTGTATGAATTGAAGTTGTGCGAAATGCGAGTTTCTATTCACGTTTTATCAAACTCTTGCACAGTGGGATCGACAATCGATGAACTGAAGAAAACTCTTGAGACAAATAGGTAAATTTCGCTAGACTGCAGACAAAGTTTCAGTATAATATTTATATCAATATTTAGATATAATGAATATGTTATTTATGTAGACATTCCTTTTCGGCGTCACTGGAATCAACCTATCAAGAGGTAAAGGAGTAAAACCATCATATTTTATTACGGAGTGATTCTCAGTGAGGATTTTATCTGATGTGTCCATAATATGCAGTGCGAACAGAAATTAGTCGAGGAGGAGGCGAACGCGGACCAACTTTTTGAGGAACTTGTCAAGCGCAAAGCTTCTCATGACCAGGCTTTCAATGGTACCATGCTTCTACGCATATGTTCATTGTGATGTGCAATTTGAGAATAGTTGAAAAATTGAATATTTACCGGTAGATTGTTCTTGGCTTGTCCGATTACTTTCGCCTCCTACCATTCGTCTACATGCTTTCTCCAAATTGACAGAGGAAAGGAAACGACTGGTTGAGCAGTATGACCATTCAAGTAAGATTAATAATCACTCCTATTCTCTTTGGTCTCTCACGGTTGAATCAAACTCACTCGATATATTATCGCTAAGTCTATTACTTGCTGATAACAGAAACTCTGTCAAAATATAGTTCAAAATATAGTTTGCTAGCCTCCACCACCAACTTGGCTGAAACATTTTCATCCTGCATTTCGAAAAGTAAGTATCAATCATTGTCGGCATGCACAAAGCAAGTCCAAAAAATATAATCATTTCGAACGAATAAATTACCTGGTCCCTCGTATTCAAGGACTGTCCCAGTTGATCAATCTTGCCGGCAAATGATAATGCCAGAGACTCGTCACTCTTTCCTGTTATCAGCAAGTAATAGAATAATATATCGGGTGAGTTTGATTCATCCCTGAGAGACCGAAGAGAATAGGAGTGATTATTAATCTTACTTGAATGGTCATATTGCTCAACCAGTCGGTCCCTTTCCTCTGTCAATTTGGAGAAAGTATCTATGCAAGTAGACGAATGGTATGAGGCGAAAGTAATCGGACAAGCCAAAAACAATCTACTGGTAAATATTCAATTTTTCAACTATTCTCAAATTGCACATCACAGTGAACATATGCGTAGAAGCATGGTACCATTGAAAGCCTGGTCATGAGAAGCTTTGCACTTGACAAGTTCCTCAAAAAGTTGGTCCGCATTCGCCTTCTCCTCGGCTAATTTCTGTTCGCACTGCATATTATGGACACATCAGATAAAATCCTCACTGAGAATCACTCCGTAATAAAATATGATGGTTTTACTCCTTTACCTCTCAATTACTTGACACAATCTATGCATCCCGGATCATGCCATAGTACCTCGAAAAACAAATGAGCGGTTGAGATGCAATTCTAGTGATGTGCGTGATTTCAAGAGACCCTAATCGTTTTTTCGATAAAGACAATTCTTTGAAATGCTTTGCGAGGCCAGAAAGTATGGTACCTCAAAGGCTCTAAGTTGTTATGATCCTAAAATGTACGAGTATTCCTCCTGTGCGGGATTTTCGAAAGCCATGTTCCTGGGCGATTAAGGGGTAACGGAACGGAAGAATACCTCCCTGATTTTATTCAGAAGCGGGTAAGACAGTGGGGATCTGTGTTAAGCTGGATGTATAGTCTCTTATCTGGGCTCTAAATCTATGTCTTCGTCATCGATCGTTTTAATTTATTCTCTTCTGCTTATGCTATTAGTCTGGTATATATCGTTGCATGTTCCGTGGGTTATATCTTTTTCCCCTCTAGCAAATTTCGTCTTATAGACATCTAAATTATTTTGATCACATGAAGGAAGGGTCGTAGTAAAGAGCGTCTTTTATTCCTATTTGATTGTGAGCCACAGGTCATCCAACAATTGGTTTTTTGATGACTGGACGATAATTTGCTGCAAATCGAGACGGTCAGGCAGTCATTCGAATTGGTTTTATTGGTCCTGGTGCAATGGGATTGGGCATGGCAACTCGCTTACTTAAGTCGAGTTACCGCATTACCGGATTGGATGTAATTTCTCTCCTCTAGCTTTCTCCACCGGTGGTTTGCTAGCTCAGAGCAGACATTAGGCTGTTGAATATGTTACCGTCATCTTATATTAGCTCTCGATGCATCTGTTTCTATCCACATGCACTGATTTTATCTTTTCAAATTGCGTCTCCGAAATATCCTTATCGTGAGAATGAGAACTGTAAGGTTATGGGGCCATCATCGAGTATCCTCGATGATAGTATACAACAGAAATGCGGTGCTGTAATTTTAGGAGTTATTAGGGAAAAGTAAATATTTTGTCCACAAAGGCGTGATTTCTTCAATATAAATATAATAATCTGTGTCTATCATAGGGATTTTTAGAAGATAAACGTGGATCTATCAATCGCATGTGTATTAATGCTCTCGAGGACTATGTTTCCATATGCATAAGTTGATGTATGTTGTTGTGCATAGATAAACATTCCAGGCCATCATTTTGTTTTGGCCCATGAATAATCTGGGGATCTGGTATGCTATTTTCGGACGTTAACTAGGAGTACCTTTATCTATTGCGGGGCAGGTCTATGAACCAACTCTTGTTCGGTTGGCAAATGCAGGTGGCTTGGTTGGCAACTCTCTAGCAGAAGCATCTAAGGTCGGGAAATTTCCTTTGTCGTGATGTTTATGGGTTTCCTCTGTACACGGCCAAGAGAACTTTGTGGTGGCGTTCGCTTTAATTCGGCTAGGGTCCGCTGGTACTTCCCCATATCACCAAGGGGGCTTATGCACTCCTCTCGCTGTCTAATGAGCGTTAGAGTGAGCCAGCGAAGCCTTCAATTTAGTGGCTCCCCTCTTTCCCTCATTTAATTCTTTCATGTGGAGGCGTGACAACATTGGGTCCCGATGTATTTTCAACCTGTAGATGTTGACCTACTCGTGATCACGGTCACGAATGAAGCTCCAGAAGAAAGTGTCCTTATGTAGATGTAGGTGCAATTCCAGGTAACTTATTCGTAACAATACCTGTTTGATTTTTCGTGTCTGGATTGACGTTTTGTTTGGCTTAACCTCAGGGCTTCCATCTGGTGCATCCATAATTCTGTCATGGACTGTTTCTCCTGGATTCATGACTCAGCTGGAACGATGATCGCAAAGTATGTCCTTTGTCATTCGGCGAATTAAATTTGAAAGATGAACGACATTTAAAGAGCAACTCTTTCAGTATCTTATGTCTTATTTAATAATACATTTCATTGTCAAACTGATGGTACATAGAGTGAGAGAAGTTGTGCGGACACTCGTAGCTTAACAAAGTTTACTTTGGTTTATGAAAATGGAATGCTAAAAGTTTTATTGGATAAATTAATGGATTTGTTTGCCCTCATTCTCTTTCTAAAATTTTTTGCTACACATGTTGTATTGCAGGTGATGGCAAAGACCTGAAATTGGTGGATGCCGCTGTTTACGGTGGTGTCAAAAGAGCTGCTAAGGGAACACTTACGGTATGCTTTTCACAACCTTTTACCTTCATAATGAACAGAGATTCCGCAATTTGCTGACTGATGCGTACGTGCTAAAAAGCTGATGGCTTCCGGTAGTGATGCTGCTCTTAAAAACGCTGGTTCAGCTCTCTCTGGTATTTGGTATTTTGTTCCAATTACCAGATGGGGAGGTTCATATCTCTGACTTGGAAAGGTTTCTAGACGAGTAATACGTGCTGCTTTTCTGATATTGGCATTAAGCGAAAAGCTTTATATTATCAAAGGAGGTTGTGGGGCTGGAAGGTACTATTAGCTTCTCTTTATTTTCTCTCATCAAGGGTCTTGGGAATGGTAAAACAGTTTTTTGTCCCACTAAATGCATAAGCAATGGGTTTTTGACTTTTGTGTCGGAAATAATTGGGCTTTCTTTTATTTGAGAGCGATATTTTGCTTTTTTGGTTTGTTGAGTGCCTAGTGTCGTGAAGATGGTTAACCAATAGCTTGCGGGGGTTCATATTGCATTGTCGGCTGAAGCAATGGGTTTTGGAGCTAGCTTAAATATTAACCCAAGAACGTTGTTCGACGCAATAACAAACGGCAGGGGAAGCTCGTGTGATGTCATCTGAGAGGAGCTTTTATACAAAGGATCCCTTGCTTGCCACCAAACCAGTTCTAATCAGCGGCCACTATTGCCTATCCAAATAGATGTCGCGTATAGAAAAAAGAAAACCTCGTCATTCGCCTCGGGGATTCACTTTTGCCATTTGTTCATCCATTCCTAAACCTATACATTCAGTAAAAAGGGTTCAAGTGTTCAGTTAGGATATAGATATTTTCTGCACAGTTCGCTAATAGCTCAAATTTTGGGTTGGACTTTTTACTACAGTATTAGAGCTCAAGATCTTAGGAACCTGCGCACTGCCCTTTTCACCCATTTTTGCCCTTCTTTACATCTCTTGGGTTTATAAAAGCTCATGCTTTTACGATGGATTTTCTAACATGTTCTTAACTTTCGACGAGGGAATATTAACCTTGGGCTTGGAGTCACGGAAGTGTTTCTGAGAATGTGTAACTGAATACCTCTCTTGGATTAGCGCCCAATTTCATGTCAGTTTAAAAGATGTTCGACCATGTGTTCTTATCACTTGCAGGATGTTTAAAAATCGCCTTCCACACATGCTGGATAATGATTACGCACCATAGTCGGCACTCGATATATTTGTGCAGGATCCGGTACGGGAAAAGTGTCTTGCTCTTTGCATTCTTTTGAAGAATTGTGAAATGCTATACAGACACTTGTAATTTCTCCAGGGCATTGTTTCCCGTGAATGTTCATCACGAAAAGTTCCTCCTCACATTGCAACCGTTGCACACCAACTCTTCCTGGCAGGTTCGAAACTCAATCATCAGTCCTCGCGTGATGTGGTTCCCTCGCCTTATTCCTCCGTATGGATTTTCTACACGGCAAGGCATAAAGAACTACAGCAAGATTTTCTTACTGGTCGATGCTTTGTGAAAGATTAGGGTTTGCATACTGGTAGCAAGAAAATGATAAACCAAGATGAATGACATTAAAATCAGGGTAACGTGACCGAACCACTGTCTTGTGTTAGCATTGATTTTCTATAGATTACAGACGAAGTACTAGTCCTGATAATTGCTGATATTTTCGTCGCGTAATAACTCATAGCTTTCCTGTTCTTCCATACTTTTCATTTCATATCCACAAGCTGAGTTTATTACTGACATGGAATTATGAAGTCTCTAACATGATTCAATCTTGTTTGCCGACTTCGGCGGCCTGCATGATCTCCCAGTTTGTTCAGATTGGTGGTCATGTAGCTATTATCTGATGGAAGGTTTGAACACTAGGAAAAGGATAAAAAACCAGTAACTTATAAGAAAAATCTGGTGCGAAAATGTAATGCACGGGGCACAAAACTCAGCAGTCTGTTCTAGTCTATTCTCAAGGAAGCGGAAAGTTTACATGATGGTATAAATTTGATTGAGTTGTTGTAATTGTGTTCTCGAGCAGGTTCTGCTGCTGGACGGGGCCGGCAAGATGATGCTGGTGTAGTAAAGGTACAAAGACTGTAATCCAAGCTCTATGCTAACTCGCTTTCAGCTGGTTGCATTGTCTTGACATGCGGTACATTGCATAAATATATTGTCAGTTGTCACTACCCATTTTGATTCTTTCTGGACACAGAAAATGGATGAGAGGACAGTGCTTATGTGACTATGAATGTTGAATGGTTGTTTTGTTAGGTGAGGCGGAGGATCTTTGGTCCTAATCATGATTTTTTTTGAAACCTCCATGTCAATTGGGTTGTCTTGAGCTTGTTGGGTTTTTGCTTGAAGGAGCATATATCGCCTTTTTCTTTTAAATAAGAAAATTTTAAGTTTCAAATGATTATGCAAAAAATTATAAAAAATTACATATGTAAAAACATATCGTTACTTGTATGTTTTGAAAGGTCCTAGTTGTTTCGAATTAAATGAAAGTCCAATTTTCAGAGCCGCGGGAAAAGGAAAAAGAAAATTGTAAACAGTAAAGGTCTGACCAACACCAAAGTTTAGAACAATCCAACCAATCCGAACATTATTCAGGCTAAATCTGATTGTTTGTTTTCCTAATTTGTGGGATGAGGCTGGGTTTGTTTTTGTAAATCTGATCGTTGGATGTCATAATCTCTGGTAGGTGTTGGAACATCCAATGGAAAAGCTTAAACCATAGTTGGAGGGAGATAGCATGAATACTTTAACACCCCTTTCACGTGCAAACGGAACTGTGAACGGCGTGTGGAATTCGAATTGATGTCAGGGAGCCTCACGCGCGAAGTCGATCTAGGCGAAACTTGTCTCTGATGCCATGTTGGAATATCCAACCTAAAAGCTTAAGCCAATAGATAGAAAGAGACAACAAGCATATAAGACCCATATACACCCCATAGACAAGATACTTTATCAGTAGCATTAGAACTGCTAGGCTGGACATTACTTCCCTAGCTGTGACTGAACTGGTAAAACTTGTTTGACCGCAATTTCAGGGACTTTTTGGCCCAGACTATGATACGTCTGAATGCAAAGCTATAATTGGTGACCATGTAGTTGTATAGATAATTAAATTCAGTCCACGGTTGTTTCACTGCTTACATTCTCTTGAGTTTGAACATTGCGCTCTGTGATGTTCTTTGCATGATTCTGTCTTGTGTCTATCGTAGCAAACAACATTTTCATAAATTATAACATCAAACAAATGATTAGATATCCTTACCAAAAAAAAAACAAATGGTTAGACAATGTACAGTTTTGATTAAACTTCTGTCATGTGCAAAGTGCAAAGTACTTTGCCGTCGGATGTTACGCTTTTCTCACCAATGGATGGACTAGCGAGAAATTCCTTGCTTTTATTGGTTTCAACTCTGCTTTCTGGACATGAGATTACTGATATCTTTGGTTGTGCTGCTTGCTCTCTATAAATGCTAAAGTGCTGGTAATGATTTCAAGCTACAATATGTATCGCTGTAGTTATTGCTGCAGCGCGTGATTCTCCCCCATCTGGTGGTGTCTTGGGGGGTCAATATAACGGGCTATTGTTGCACCTTTATGTGCGAGAAAATTCTGAAGTTTGACCGGCTTGGTAGTTAAACTGAAAGCAGCGCTTTTCAATCAACCAAAAGGAGGCTTTAGCCTATGTTGGCGGCAGCTCACAGACTACTCAATACTATGCAAAGCTGAAAATTGTTTGTTGAGCAAAGTTTGATGATGATGCCCTCAAATCGGTCGGCAAATATTTCTTGCCATGGCTCAGAACACAGACTAAGTTAATGAGGTATCCCAGTGGCTCTGGCAATTGGTTAAGCCCATATTAATAATTTAACCCAGATACCATGTATACACCGGAATATTTGGGTCGAACTTGGAGCAGTACGAATTGTGTGAGGCATTGGCTTGTAACATATACTTAGGAGGATGGCTGCTTTTGCTTCTATGTCTCTGTCTATGTGCATATGCTTATGCAATTTCTTTAGAGACCCTGCTCACGTTTGCTGTGCGGGCGTTTTTGTTCTGGGCTATATTTGACACCAAAGCTCTCTATATGATAGCAGGTGGTGCATATCTTATCTTTGAGCTCAGGGTGGAGTCACCTCGTCAGATCTTGCTACAAAGGCCCTGGAGGCAAAGTGTGCGAAAATAGTTGGACAACCTCTAGCCGGCATTCCTCTATGGCAATAGGTCCTGAAAGTAGACATCCAGGAGTTCCATACACTGTATTCCCAGGTGAAACTCTATCTTTTTTGTTTTTACATCTTGCGCATCCACACAGCTGACGTAGGAACCTCACACTAGGATTACTTGTCTCTTTGCTTAGGTAATGTTGGCAGCAGTACAGCGCTGGCTGAACTCGTAAAATCGTGGGCTCCTGCAATCAGACTTTCCCCAAGAAAAGAGCTTCTGCGGTTCAGGATCATCGAGATTGGTGTTTTTAATGGGATTAAACCTGTATGATAGTACAAGGGTTTCGCGTTATTAATAGAATGCGGAAGGAGGTTCTTCTGTCTGTGCATTTAATGTTTATAACTCGGAAGGAGTTGAAGCAGTCGTTGCTGCGGCACAGCAAGAACAGAGTCCTGCTATATTACAGGTTGGACAAATGTACCTGAAACTTGATTTTTCTTCACCTTTCAATTTGGCTAATTATCGGATACCCGAAAGGCTCGTCGTCTGGAAGGATCATGATGCTGAAGTTTCTTAGCCTGTTGCACCTTCTGTAGTAATTTTATCGGCCAAAGCTGGCAAAAGTAATGCAAACATCCTCTCTGCTTATTGAATTTCACTCCAGAAGCTTAAAGTTCAAAGAAGCGATTTTGACTAATTTTGGCATTGCTCCTTCACAAAAAGATTACTTTTCCTCTTTCTGTCTTTTAACATCCCCCCTGTTCGTTTTTCAGATTGCAAATTTTTATTTAGCGCGTAGGGCATGGACATAGATAGACTGAAATGCACATGGCGATAAGTAGAGTATGATTGTTTGATGCCCATTTTCCTTGCAGGTCCATCGTGCTGCCTTTAAACAAGGAGAGATTCCCCTAGTTGCCTGTTGCATCTCGGCTGCAGAACAGGCTAATGTAAGCGCTTTTCATATCATATTGAACAGGGGAAGAACATCAGTCCTGCACTTATCTGGAGCTAGAAATTTTGCTACGTGTTTTGTTCAGACAATATTATTTGGTTTATGCTCTCTGATAAGATGTAAGTTCTGTGCACAAATGACGCAAAATGGACGGGACCTTCTGCATTGTTGGTTTGTAGGGATACTTATCCAGTCAAATGCAGCCCAACAATTCACGGAAGCTTAATCTGGCATTCTTCTCTGGAAAGCCATTTGTTTTGACATGTGGATCTTGTGGATATCATTTGCCGTTTAACCTGAGCTTATACCAAAAGCATCTGTTTCGAAATAACACGCGGAATATGGAGAATGGTTAATGAACGTTATATTGGTGCACTGTCGTTTGGCTCGTATCACTGGTTTTTCTGGTTTAAGTTTTGGGGTATAAGACACGAGTTTGCATTTATAAGTCCTGTTTTGGTTAATGCAGACAGAGAAGATAAGTTAAACAAGGTTGTGCACATGCTTTTATGGCAGGTTCCGGTCACAGTTCATTTTGATCGTGGAACTTCCAAGGAAGATCTCTCAGGAGCCATTAATTTGGTATATAACTCTCAACATTTGCTGTATTGGCTGGCATAGGAGGTGATGCAGTTTGGTGTCGCGAGCTGCAGCCTATTCTCTTGAAGGAAAGATAGGTCGATTAATTCTCTGTTCACGCCGTCTGTCATTTGAATTTTTCCCGGGATTTCATTCAATAATGGCAGATGGTTCATATCTTCTTTGACCCACTCAAAAGGCCTGCTCGTTGAGGCTGAATAAGGGAGATTGTCAGGGACAGAGGATGACCTGACTGCCGAATATATGAGGCAAGGCTAACTGATGTTAATGAGGTCAATAAATTTATCAGTGTATGTAGGCCTTGTATTGGTGGTTAAAATATAATCTTTTCTAAACTGGCCTCTTTAATTATCAGGCGGAAGAATTTGTTGATCGCACTGGTGCAGATGCTTTGGCGGTTGCGAATTGGAAATGTTAATGGAAAGTATCCTCCCGGTGGTCCAAATTTGAGGCTTGATTTCCTGAGGGTCTGGAATATTCTGCTCTGGCCCTTATTAAAAACCTCGATCACGCGACCGTGACGGTTTGATGGTTGAGACACTTCTAATGTTTACGTATTTGTGCAGAAAAACTTCAAGCACAAATGCATGTTCATGCACATTATGAAGAAATATTAGCACGTAAGTTCTGAAGAAAAACTAGTGAAATATGTAGGTGCATAGAAATTCCTAGTAAACCAGGTGGGTGGAATGAGAGTTTGCGAGTATGGTAGTCACAAGGTTCTAATTGTGCGTGTTTAATTGCCAGTACCCAAATGTCGCGTACCCATATCCTCTTTCCACATGCTCCACATCAGGATCGATGTACACATGAAGACTAGTGCAAACCCAATAACTGTTGGCAAAAAAAAAATAAAATTGTAGAAACCCTAGAGGCGTGAAGAAGAGAACCCACAAATGGGCGAAAGAGGGAGTGAGAAATTTAATTTGGCCGTCTCTCTAGAAGGTTAAGCTATTAGAGAGGGCAAGAATCGCGTACTAAAAGCTCGACAGATATAAAGTTTCCTCGTATGTTCCTGTGTTTGTCAACTTGCGTATCATCTTCCGCAGGGGAACTTCATTATTGGTCGAGAACAAATGATGAATAGGCTGATCCCGGTTTGAGTTTGTTTTGCTTAACTAGTAACTCCCGGAGAAGCTTTTCACATGTTTGCCTAGAGAGTTCATTCAAGCATGCACTGGTTTTCAATCCCGAGGGGACTTTTTAGCCCCTCAAAGATCTCCGTTAGAATTGCATCATTGCAAAGCCTAGATTAGCTCCAAAATGACCGTCTCTTTTTCTGTAAAATTTGAGGTGTTCTCAGAGTCTCATGCCTGTATCCATCATGAAAAGTACCGATTAGCATCAGTTACCCTCTTCTAAATTTGTTACACCAACTACCGAGTAGCATCAACCGATACGGATTTTGTCCTCGCTTCATCTTATCCGTCAGTGTTTCCCTTCCCTAGAACCATCAATTTCTGACGTCCAAGAAAGAGAGTGTCCTTGGTGCTTCGGTGAGCTTCTGGCTTGTCCGAGGAACTCGTCAGGGTAATTAGTTCGCACTCAATGCAACTCCTTCGCAGGCAAAAGATTCTGAATGAATGATTGTGACGAGGCGCGAGAAAACCAAACCAGCTCGAATGATTTGGTTCCGACAAGGAAAAGGTTCGATGTGAACACGGAGCCGCGACAGGCGTACATGGCATGCTTGAGCTAACCCAAAAGAGATCTCGTCACCGTCATGTCGTCCGCGAGGGAAGCCACGGAGGCTGTTGTTGCAGAAAAGATGCACCTCTTTGGTTCAGTCGGAAAAGCATGATGACAAAAGGTGTGATGTTATTCTTCGCCAGTTTATGAAGGAGTTGAATAAATGGTATCAATATATGGAGAAATCAAGTATCGCCAGAATAATGGGACGTCTTCATTATTTTTTTGATTATGTTCTGCGTCCGTATGGCATCTGTCAGGCAGGTTCGAAAAGAATATCGAAGTTTTGTTACTAACCCTGAATTGCGACATTATCTCAGATTCAATCATTGATAAATTCCGAAAACTCTTTTTCTGGACCATAACTGATACAAGCCAAAGTTCAGGTCGTTTCCATGTTCTCGTCGTCCTCCTTAGACAAGAGGTCGTGCGACCTCGGTTGAAGGTAGGAGAGGGATTCGCGGCAGATAGAGCGATCAATGGTAGCGTGCCAAACTCAGCGGGCAAGGCGGCAGCAGCAGCACGCGCATGGTGTGAATCGATAGGCGATGCGGTGGGTGATGATGCGAGCATTGATGTGGGTTGATGTAGCAGTGAGACCCATATTGAGCCATAGTTCTTAAAGCTGTGTGTTATTTGATTCCCCAATCAATAGTTCAGATACTCGATTGCACAATGAGCAAATCTCATACGCTATGGAAATCCTCTTAGCCTTAATTTGTTAAAAAAAGGAGAAGGCTTTAGCGTAGTATCAGACATTGATGATCACAACAAATCATAAGCAATTCTTAACTTAATCTTTGTTAATTTTGCAATCTAACAATCTAATTTTGCATGGATTACGCACTTTTATCTCTCACAATACGTCATCGAGAGCACGAATAACCTCAAGAGGACGGATCAATGTCGGCAATAAACGCATATATTTATTTCCACATCCTAAATGGCTATAACACGCCCCAGCATACTTACATGACAAATATAACTTCAAGGGCACGGTTTGACAAAGATCCCTAATGGAACTGATGAAAGTTGTTATTCATTGAAAATGCAGAAAGTGCACGTTGTCTTGAAAATACAAGACTTTGTATTTGAATCGAAATAATGTAAATTGTCTCCCTGCATGTTCTTATTTTCGGTTCGTTTTCATACGAAATTTATTTCCTTAGTACGAAGGATTATTTGCAATGAGTTCGAAGGTTGTTGGTAGTCCTTATTGATTAACCCATCTCAAATCTACATAATGAAGAGCTCACTATCATAGTCAACGAATTTTACTCAGAAAAGAATTCGAATAGAATAATTATAAATAAAACATGAAATTATTGGAGAATAAAATTTTTGAGAGTTGTAAATAAACACGGTAACTTTGTTTTCTTCTTTTAAAAAAGAATTTCAATCATCGAATCAATTACAATATTCGAATTATAGAGAATTCTGTTAAATAAGAAAGCAGAAACAAAAAAATTAAAATATACATTTTATTGTATTTTTTAATTAATTTGATCACGCTAGGATTATTTTTTGAAGAGTGGAGTGTGAAAACAGTCGGCAAACCCTTGTCTCAGCAAAACACCGAAGTCGCCCCTACCGACTGCCATGAGTGTAGTTCTCGATGCCCTGATCGACGTCGATGTCGCCCTTACCGACGTCACAACTACCGCCGGCGCCACCGCCGAGAGGGCAATGACGAGGCAGCGGTGAGTTTCAATCTAATTTGTATTTTTGATATTTCATTTCGTGAAATGTGAGGGGATCGTGTATATACGGTCAAAATTTCTTCTTTTATTTTTAGAGAGTTGTAAATAAACACGGTAACTTTATTTTCTTCTTTTAAAACAGAATTTCAATCATCGAATCAATTACAATATTCGAATTATAGAGAATTTTGTTAAATGCAAAAAAAAGCAGAAACAACAAAATTAATACATCCATTTTATTTATTTTTTAATTAATTTTTTCACGCTAGGGTTATTTTTTGAACAGTGGAGGGTGAAAACAGTCGGCAAACCCTACGGGAAAGCCATTGTCTGAGCAAAACGCCGGCGTCGCCCCTACCGACCGCCATGAGTGAAGTTCCCGATGCCCCTACCGACGTCGACGTCGCCCTTGCCCTTACCGACGTCGAAGCTGCCGGCGCCGCGGCGGCGGCGGCCGAGAGGGCAATCAAGAGGCAGCGGTGAGTTTCCATCTGATTTGCAATTTTTTTGATATTTCATTCCGTGAAATGTGAGTGGATCGTGTATATACAGTCAGATGCAGTCGACAGGAGGGGAAGCCGGCGAGACTCAACCTCGCGTGATACTGTCGGAGGGGCTTGAGTGAGTTCTCGGTTCAAGTAATTTGTCTTTTTAATTTTTCGTTCCGTGAAATCTGAAAAAATCGTAAATGTACAGTTACCTGAAGCACCTGAATACGCTAAAGGATATCGTACGAACAGAAAACCACACCCTAATACGCAGGTGAACTCTTTGAAGACTATCAATTGAAGTTGTGTGAAATGCGAGAGTTTTCATTCATGATGGAACTCTGGATTTGCAGATCGTTGTCTGATGCGAGATTGGCAATCGACGAAATGCAGGAGAAGCTTAAGCTAAATAGGTACATTTCGCTAAACTGCAGATAAACTATTTCAGTAGGATGTTTAAGATATAATGAATATATATTAATTTATGTAGACATTGCTTTTTGGCGGCACTGGAGAGGAGCTATGAAAAGGTAAAGGAGGAGCAACACCATAATATTTTATTAAGGAGTGATCCTCGCTGAGGATTTTTTTTATCTGATGTGTCCATAATATGCAGTGCGAACAGAAATTAACCGAGGAGAAGGCGAACTTGGACCAACTTTTTGAGGAGCTTGTCAAGTGCAAAGCTTCTCACGACCAGGCTTTCAATGGTACCATGCTTCTACGCATATGTTCACTGTGATGTGCAATTTGAGAATAGCTGAAAATTTGAATATTTGCCAGTAGATTGTTCTTGGCTTGTCCGATTACTTTCGCCTCATACCATTCGTCTACTTGCACAGATGCTCTCTCCAAATTGAAGGCGGAAAGCGAACGACTCGTTGAGCAGTATGACCATTCAAGTAAGATTAATAATCACTCCTATTCTCTTCGGTCTCTTAGGGCTCAATCGAACTCACCCGATATATTATCGCTACGTCTATTACTTGCTGATAACAGGACAGAGTGCGGAGTCTCTGGCATTATCATTTGCCGGCCAGATTGATAAACTAGAAGAGTCCTTGAATAAGAGGGACCAGGTAATTTATTCGTTCGAAATGATTATATTTTTGGACTTGCTTTGTGCATGTTGACAATGGTGGATACTTCCTTTTCGAAATGCAGGATGACAATGTTTCAGCCAAGATGGTGGTGGAGGCTAGCAAACTTGTGCCATGGCTTCGGGCTCAGCCTTCCACCATGTCATAGTGTCTATAGTCATATATGCTAGTGATTTGTAAGAGTCGAACTAGATTTAGACTGCTGAGCAATTTGTGTCAACTGTGTCACTGTTGGAATTGAAAAGTGGGCATCTTTAGAGTTTTCACGTGTTACTTAGTTGGGGGTTTTTTTGCGAGACCACATTAACGTTGGTCTATCATGAACCAATATTTCCTCGTGAATGCAAAGCACCGTTTCAGGACCCTGGCAGCTGTTGCCTGCTTTTGACAAAATTTGATCTGTCTGTTCTATGCAGAAAATGCTGAGGTCTCCTTTGTAGAAGATGCATATTTGTTTTTTGGGGTACATTGGAGCATTTAAGCGGAAAGCTTGTGGCGGTCTGACATTTTCTTTTTGGCTATTGTGGAGTTCGTACATGTAGAGCCTCGCTGAATATCTGTGCGTTGGTTAATGAATAAAAGTTCCTCCTCCCTGTGCTCTTCCTGTTGCTGTTGAGATCTCTTGCTCAGGAAAGTCTGATGCCATTGCTAGGGCGAGGCATATGCTCTCTGGTTTAGCCATTCCTCCTCCCGGCGTTATGTTAACTATTTGGGTTATAAACATGTAAGGACGGTTTATTGGATTTTGTTGTGCATGCAGCAATGTCTAACAAAGTATACATATTTGACGGAGAAATTGGGGCAGGAAGTTCTGCTCACCTTGACTGCCGAAAAGCCCTGCATATTTGGATGGAATGTTTGCATCTTTTTATGGTTAGAGTATAAGTTGCACCCTGTGGTAAATGATGTTCATGCCGTGCTTTAAGATGAGATATTGGTCGAGATGTCTATAGATGTTTCCAACTGTATCCTGGATGGGCTTCGTCAAGGAGGGTATGGTTTTTAGAGTCCTTTCTTTGGCTAACAAATGTGCCAAACTAAGTGTTGGGTTTACGTTGCAGCAAATATAAGTTGGGTAACGATCTGCTTGAGGGAATTCATCCGGTTACTGCAGCGGAGGCACTTTGTTTGGGCGTCACGGCTGGTATTTCATGGGCTGGTCGCCGGCCATGGCTGCTAAAATAAATTTTTTTTGTTCATGGCCGGTAAAATATTTTTTTATTAAATATATTTTAATCTCGCCAAATACGGCGAGGGTGGCCTCGCGCCGGACATTAGAAGCTACATTAAAAATCAAGAAAAAGAAGAAAAAAAAATTGATTCTCATTTTTGTTCCCAGAATCGAGAAGCTACTTTTTTTTTATTCTTGATTCTGCTCCAAAACTGATTTTGTGCACAAATTTGCAAGAATTTGTGCCCAGAAAAAAAAATTTAACAAACGGATTTCTATTCCAAAACTGATTCTGGGAGCAAATGAACAGAAATTTTCACAATTTGGCTAGTTGCCAAACGGGCCCTAAGTAAACTTTTTTGATCTGGACACAAAAGAAGAAACAACAAGATCGATTTATCCACCTTAGAGGAATGATTTTTGTTTTTTTTAAGGGTTAATACCATAATATCACGAAAAACCCCAAACTGGTACACATGTGTTAAATTAATTTTTTGATCACAAAAAACTCCAAACTGATAAATCCGTGACGAATTTATCCTCCGTTAATTTCCGTTAAATCTTATCATAAAATTGCTAAGTTAGATGACACGTGGCATTTGACGGGTGTACCAGTTTAGGATTTTACTTCTCCGTTTCTCACATCTTTGCTAATTTGCGGTTTTTCAATGGTATCAATCCAATTTAACGAAAGATAAATTTGTCATAAGTTTATCGGCTTGAGGTTTTTTGTGGTAAAAAATTGAGTTTAGGGTAAATTTAAATTTGTGGCAAATATATCGATTTAGGGTTTTTGATGGTCAAAAAATAAATTTATGGTAAATTTATCGTAAGCGTGCCAATCAATCTAGTGTTTTTCGAGAAAATTCCTTTTGGTTTTTTAATCAACTCTATTATTAATGAGTGCTCAATCAGGGTTATTTCGAACGCATACACAAGTGAGAGTGAGCAAGGAGTCGGCAAGCAGAGGGAAAAGCCGAACTGAACGAATTCTTCCCAAAGCCATGTCCACCGGAAATGTCGCCGAGATTCAATCTGCCGGCGACGCCGCCGAGAATCAATCTGCCGAAGATGCCGAGAATCAAGCCGGCAACATCGCCGCCGCGAGACTCACGGCATGCTCATCGTATGGACGTCGCCGAGATTCAAGCCTTCGGTCAGTGTAATTTGTATTTTCTTTTTCTTTTTCAATTCCTCAAAACTGAGTGAATCGTAAATGTACAGTGAGATGCAGTCCACCAGAAAGGGAGATCCGTATTTTAATTTTTCAATTCTTGAAATCTGAGTGAATCGTAAATGTACAGGGAGATGCAATCCACCGGAAAGGAAGATCCTGGCGACGTCTCCAACTGTGTATTGAAAGGGTGAGTCTCGATTGATGTAATCTGTAATTTTTTTATTTTTGCAATTCGTGAAATCTGAGTGAATCGTGAAATGTACAGCGAGGTGCAGTCCACCGGAGAGGAAGATCCCGGCGACGAAGGCAACAGGCTATTGAAGAGGTGAGTCTCGATTGCAGTAAATCTGTATTTTTTTTTTTTTTTAATTTTTCATTTCGTGAAATCTGAGTGAATCGTGAAATGTACAGTGAGATACCGTCCACCGGAAAGGAAGAAGAGCTTGACTTAGGCATTATACACAGGTGAACTTTTGGGAGACTATCAATTGAAGTTTTGTGAAATGCGAGTTTCCAATTCATGTATTGAACAATTGTTTTTTTTTGTAGCTTGTTCTCGGAGTCGAGATTGTTTATCGGTGAACTGCAGAAACAGCTTGAGCGAGATAGGTAAATTTCTGCGGTTTAGCTTGAGTGAAATAGGTAAATTTCGCCAGACTGCAGGTTTCATTACAATGTTTTGATATGATGAATTTGTTATTTATGTAGGGATTGCTTTCTGGGATTACTCCGAAAGAGCAATGAAGAGGTAAAGGGTAAAACCATAATATTTATGAAGGAGTGATCTTCTCTGAGGATTTTATCTGATGTGATGATGCTATGCAGTGCGAAAACAGATTCAGGGATGAGAGTGCAAAGTTGGACGAACTTCTTCTCAAGTATAAAGCTTCTCATGTGCGGGCTTTAGATGGTAACGTTATTTGGTTGTAGAACATTACTACCACCATGTTTCTACGCACGCACTACAAACACGTACAATATGAAATTTGTGAGAATGGTTGAAAAACTGAATGTTGAATGTTTCCCCGATAAATTAGCTTGTTACATATGATGATCTTGGCCTGTCTGATTACTTCCCCCTCATACCATTTGTCTACTTCCATAGATCCTTTCTCTAAGGAGAATGAACGTCTCAAGGAGCAATATGAAGAGTCAAGTAAGATTAAGATTAATAATTACTGAGCGTTGAATCAAACTCAGCTGCTATATAATCCATCTCATATTAAGTCTATTACTTACTGATAACAGGACAGGCTGAGGAGTCTCTCGTATTATCAATTGCTGGTAAGATTGATCAAATAAAAGAGGCCTTGGAAAGGAGGGACCAGGTAATCTATTCGAAATGCATATTACATTTTTGGAGTTACTTTGTGCATGTTCACAGTAATTGATACTTCTCTTCAAAATGCAGGATGAGAATGTTTTAGCCAAGATGGTGGTAGAGTCTGCCAACCTCTGCCCAGGCTTCGAGCTCAGGCTCCCCATGCAGGATGATTCGAAAGTAACGAATTAACTACTTGGTTTTTTTTTTTTTTTTGATAACCCATTAACTACTTGTTTGCTTGCTCTTTAAATCAATAAGTCATATGGGCACCACTTTAATATGATCTTTGGAATTTTCCCTTTATTTTGCGGATATTGCTACAGATATGGCTACTGGGAAGCTCTAGATATTATGATTTTATTCTGCTACAGTGTCGTTTCTGATAACTTATATGTGGCATCGAGGAGTTGTGCGTAACTAGTGTCAACTTTACATCTTTATCTTTTGTTTTTTTTTTTTGGTCAGAACATCTTTATCTATTTAGTTCGACGCTTAATAGCACTTTTTTGAGATTAAGAATGGATTTGCTGAAAGAGCACAAAACGAACCGCGCCAAATTCCAGGCGACTACAGCGTAAACACTGGCGCTGAGCTTTCTCGGCTTCATATGTAAAGAATTCTTCCTCCTGCCGTCATTCCGAGTCGTCTTCTTTATCTTTTGCTACGATTTAGATCATCGATTCCATGTGACGAGACAATGCTCGGACACTGCGAGAATTCTCGAGCGCGGCGTCCCAAGACGTGGTTTCTCTTGTGGGCTTGTCCGACTTGAGCTTGGAGATGGCCGCTTCGCTCATTCGCGCTGGGTATAAAGTCCAAGCGCTTCACTTTTGGTAACTTTTGTTGATTGGTCGAAAGAAGAAGGTCCGATTTGTTTATAAAAAGATAAAGACGGTTACTTTGCCTCTGGGCAAATCGGTCGTCCACTTTAGGAGTTTCTCGAGTTTTTGCATTGCTTCCATTCGATTCCGGTTTCAAAATATCCAGTCCTCCATAGAGTGCAGCGATTTGTAGCGTTCTCGTAAGCTAGTGATTCGTATGATTCAAACTAGATTAGCCTCACCGTATATCCGTCTGTTGGTTTAACACATGAAAGAGCTGCTTTTGATTCTTCTCCCTTCTCCCTCTCTTCGTCAGGAAAGTCGGGTGCCATTGCCAGGGCGAGGCATGTTCTCTCCGGCTCAACCATCCTTCCTCCTGACTTGATGATGTTTGACTATTTGGATGTGAACATACAACAGCTGTTCATTGGGTTTTGCTTGTGAATGCAGCAATGTCCGACAAACTATGCATATTTGGGGGAGAAATCGGGGCAGGAAGTGTGCTCACCTTGACTAGAGAAAAGCTCTGCATATTCGGACGAACATTTTTTTTTTTATGGTTAAACTATAAATTTGTATCCCGCAGTAAAGGATGTTCATGCTGTGCTATAAGATGAAATATTCGTCGAGATGTCCATAAATGTCTCTAACTGTATCCTGGATGCCGTGTCACACTAAGTGATGGATTTTTCGACCCAAAAAAAAAGAAGTGTTGGATTTATGTTGCTGGAAATATAAGGTGGTTAACGATCTGCTTGAGGGAATTCATCTCGTTACTGCAGCGGAGGCAATTTGTATGGGCGTCAAGGCTGGTATTCATCCTTGGATTATCCATGACATTATTTCTAATGCCGCTGGAAATTCATCTGTGATTTCACTTCAGGCAATCATAAGCGATGTTGTTACCAGGCAGTCAAATCACACTTCTCGAGTCTTATCTGTTCGCTCTGTCATTTTTCCGTTGTAATTCATGGCACGTTGCCCTGAAGATCACATCGGGGAGTCATTTTAACCATCTTTTGAACTATATAAGGGTTGGAATCCTCTCAATTACTTGACTCAATCTAGGCATTCCGGATCATGCCATCCTACCTTTGAAAACAAATGTGTAAACGGATAAGACACCGACACACTGACTCTTGCTTCCAATGTGCAACTTGTGAAGTTGTCGTGCTTTCATGAAACAATAGCACAAATAGAGCCTAGGATATCAGTGTCCTAGTGGAATTTTATTTTACTTGTCTAGTTGTCTTTTCTCGAGCGTTAACATTGAAAGCTATCATTAGTGTCTTTCGACTAGGTTTAGCACTAAGCGCCGAGCAACCGATGTTTCAAACATGAAAAGACTGGTGAAACACACACGAAGTTCCTGTCACACACGACTCACTCATTCGCAATTCTCCTTCAACCAAGACCTGAGTACCTCCCAAGCTAAATTTTCTCACTCAACCATCTCAGGATATGTTTGGGATTTCCAGCCTGAAATTGTATTCTAGGAATCCTAAGCCTCGTCTCGCTAAAATTTGATATAATGCCCAATAAACTTCCGATTTGCTGGTAAGTTGTACTAGTCTTAAGGGCCATTGACAATCATGCAACGAGATTCAGAGTCTGGCAGAAGGGGGGGATAAAAGGCTTAACCAAATTTGCACGTAACAATCCCTATCTTAAGACTTCGCTCTATACCCCAAAGCTAAGGGAAAAAGAACAATCACCTGTACTGAGCTCTAAATGTATGTGTCCAGTATTTGTAAGCATCCCTCAAGTTTCCTATGTGACATGACTCCAAGTAGGATGCGCCCGGCCTCTCCCTGCATGACCATTTTCTCTTCCGTTGGAAATGACCTTTGAATTGCCACCAAGCCTCGATGTTCGGCTACCATGACTCCTTTGGCACACCTGGAAATACCCAAATGTCTGAGGACCAAGTCAAGAAAATGTTAGAAAATAACAAAAAACAAACATTGGATAATCACTAGAAATTATATGAAGTGATACCTCCATATTCAACTTCCTTTGTTCAGATATTTTCGGCTTCCTTTGCCTAGGTGTACCGGTCGCAAGTGAGTCAAAAAAGTCATCCTTCACATAACCAGGCTATCATCCAAACAGGAAAAGACATCTCCATTTCAAAAGAAAGAATGAAAGAGAACCTGTAACTCTTTAAGCTCACTATGATTCACCTTCTTATCCAATTTCATTGCAGCATCTACATGCTCAGCATCCTCGGCAGGAAGATCACAACCATCTGCTTTCGTCTTTAGGTGAGCTTCGTTCTGCTTGCCAAGTTCACCCCACACTTCGTCCTTGTTAAATTTCTTGTTCATTGCCACGAAATCAAAATCCTCGGCATATTTGGCAGCCAAATGTGGAATCTGGAAATGAAAAGAGAACCCATAAAGAAGTGCGATCAGACCCTAAGGAACGTTAAAAGACAGAGAGTGAAGGCAACGTGACTATTCGCTGATCCCGCATGGATCCAAACTAACAAATGGTAATCCATGTAAAAGCGCAAGCCTATAGGCTCAAATTCAAGATACAATCTTTTTCAGACTCGTATAAACAATTCATACATACATGTCTCTTTTGCTGAATCTCTATGACATGGATCCTATAGTAAGATGATCCATACAGCCCCAATTAGTGAGAAACGGACCAAATGTTATTGTTGTTGCAGATGCATCCATTCATTTCGAGGGAGATTTTGAACGAAAAAGCTTGTATATAACAAAACCTCAAAAAGCGATATTATTGAACGCTCAAACAAGTAAAAAATTATTTTACGTTTTCCAAATGTTTATATCAAAAACTACCCATAGCTATTCCTTTTCTTTTCACAGTATCTTGATAGTGATGTACAAAATCACTAGAGAACTTAGATAATAAATGGAATACCCCTAATATCAACTTGCAGCAATATTTGCATGCCAAATGATTTACTCATCCAACTGATGACGAAATTTAATTATAATTTGACCTCCACTCTTCTAAATTACCAATTTTCACTTCTAGTTAGTGTTTTCTCCATTTTCTTTTATTTTCCAGCTTGTTTGGAATTGCAATCAATATTGTCAACCAGTTGCTCTATGTTTTTTACCTCGTATATTGTCAGTTCATAAAACTGATTACGATTACTAATTCCAATTTCTATTTTTTTTTAACTCTTATGCAACAAAGTTTATATGTTTCAATTTAATTATTTTGTGAATTTCATGTGTATCGTCCAATTTCTTTTGGCTCGCAAGCTAATCATTTCTACACATTATTTGTGGTACTCTTCTTACTCATATATGGTACATTTGTTGGATATTCATCTTTAAGATTTTCATCATTTTGCTTTCCACATCTTTGAAACTAAATCTCTGTTTTGGGCTCTCAGTTTTAGGAAGTGCTGTCTATATTTTAGAGGTGATGTGTCTTACCCCTTTTTGGCTTTCTATATTGTTTGTTGCTTTCTACATGCATCTTACTAATTGCTGCTAAGTTTCAAGACATTCATTAGAATCAGAAGAGAGAGTCATATCGCATCTTCTCCTTTTCCTTGAGCAATTCCTTTATTATGGTGATAACAATCAGTAGCAGCTCCAATCAACTACACAGCGGTGAAGAGCAAAAGCAGCATTGAACTTAAACTACTCATGTCATGGGGCTATACAAACAATTATGAAAAAAAAATGTGATACCTTCTTTCCTCTTCCCACTGAGATGCTCTTACTAGTTTGATGATGCTGCCTGCCAGCCCTATCTATCTGGAGCTACCCAGGAAATACAGAAAGGCACAGAATCAAATATAATATGCAAACAGGTTTGAGGTGAAAAGGGAAAGTATGGGACAAATCTCAAACAAAAAGATATCGAGTATTAGTATTACCTTCTTTCCTCCTTTCCCCGAATTGCTTGTGATTTGGTGGGTTCTTGACTCAGCCTTAGTCATCTGGAACACGTGATAACATGGAATGAAAAATATGAGCTGCTCTTTTCTCTATCTCCAAATTAAGTGATAGTTGGCAGAAATGACAAGAACATTGAGAGGTATCTGTATACCCTGTTTTCCCTTTCCCATGGTTTGGTCTTTGTGATTGGAAGAGTCCAAGAATCAGCTCTGTTGATCTGATAGAAAGTTGATGGTGCAACAAGGAGACACATACAAGTATAAGGACATGCAAAGACGGCAAACAAAACCACTGGGCTTCTGTGGTTGGGGTGAAGACACCTTCCGGACCTACAACACGATGTTCTAAACGGTCATGAGAAAAAATTGGAAAAAGCCATTATACCCTCTTTATTCTTTCTGCCACCTTGCTCACAGCAACTCTCGGATTCTGTACATTAGATGTTCTCATCTGAAAGTTAAAACAATAGATATCAAGGCAGACCCATGAGTCTGATATAAAGAAAGAGAAGCTAAATTCAGAAAAGCTCATAGATAAAAGCTTTACCTTCTCTCCTTTTCCCTCTCCATAAGCTTTATGATTGTTAGTGTACTGAGGAGCACCTTTATGCTGTAAGAGAGAGAGAAAGGCCTCTAGTTAATAGTAGTTATAGACACTCACGTGTATTAGAAAACACATATAAGCATGTGACAATTTGCTCTGTGAATGTGTGATACCATCTTTCCTCTTTCTGCCGACTTGCTGGCAAAACTGTTGTGATTCTGCAGATTGCCTTTATACGCCTGAAATAATGGATAAAGCCAAAGATTTTAAACTGTGAAGACAATGAGAAGGCAAACAATATGGACTGGCAAGTTCACAGAAAGAAATATCTTTACTGTGCTTCCCTTTGCCGGACCATTAGCTTTATGACTGTTATTAGAGTCTAAAGTGGCACTATTATGCTGACAAAAGGAAGCAGAGGAAGAGAGCAGAGGCTCTATGAAAATCCAATTCTGAAAAAGAGATTTAGATATAACAAAGGCTGGATAAAGAAAAGAATGATATGAATTAACAAACAGACATACGTTAGCTTTGCCCTCTCTATTATAGACACAATAAGGGTAATGTTCGAAAAGAATACCAGAAAATGTCTTATTGAGAAAGTATGAGAGACACAACTCTAACTCCAGAGATGCAGAGTAAAGGCATCTCTTTAAAAAGTTAGATACATCTACAACAGCTAAGCGAGAAACTGCAAAGCACATAATCTTCACCAGCTCATTTACATAAAATCTTTGGCTTCAATAAGCCAAAATGAGGTGGGAAGAGGGCATAAGGACAGCTAAGGGAATGCAATCAAAACAGGGTAAAAGACGTCCATGAACATGATCTATAAAATGTGGGGGCTTCTTTTGGTTTCTATTTCCTTTTCAACCGGATTACAAATGTAACAGCCACTAAAGATGCAATATACTGTCAACTAAATCACTTTTTTGTTAGTGCAACCTATTCCAAAAAACCACTAGCGAGCATGTAAAACAAATAACTTTTGGAGGAAAAGATGTGTCAAGAAAAGTGAAGGCAGATAAAATTCAGAGTTTCAAAAGGTCCTCCGGCTGATCTAGAGAGCACAAGTCATGCAATGAAGCATAATAAAACTAGATTCAGAACCCATCTTACTAGCCATGGACAAGTTTCCTCACTAACATAGATGCATCGTATTAGACCGAAATGACCACATGAAAGCTCCAATATATAGATGTTACAAATCTGAAATATATCACAACGGCAATTGACAAGAACGAGTAAAAATCGTAAGTTCATAAGGAGATGTAGCGCCTTTTTCTCCAGGAATGCAATATCACTTGGCGGAGCAACTAGAAATTCAGGTGCTTCTTTTTTAATAAAGGAAAGAGGCAGTGAAGCAAGAGACTGAAAGAGTCTTTTAAAACTGAGGACAAAATGCGAAAATATAGTTTACTGGACAATAGTCAAAGCAAAACAAAAAAAATTTATTTTTAGAAATTAAAACTGCTAGTATACTGAAAAAAATAGCCAAAAAGTTAAAAGTTGCCCCAATTAAATGCTTGTCATGGACAAGACGTTATAAAGGATGAAAAGGAAAAATTAGTTCATTCAATTGAAACATTAAGACTCGCGATTGCTTGTAAAGGAATGGTGGACTGGAGTTTCTGGAAGATGAGCATAAACTAGACAGGTATTTAACAAGATAAAAGCCAAGTATTTAATCTCTATAGCTGAGAACAAGAGAGTAAATACAACTTTTGTTCTAGTCTAGTGTTTCAAAACAACATATTGGAGGGTGAAAAACATAATAATTACCTCCCGAACGATGCACCAAATTTTTGATATATTAACAAGAGATAACTGAAATTCCACATAACATAATTATATAATCATAATCCTCTGGCCACAACTAAGCCACAAGAGAATAAAATCCAGATATAGCTTGTATCAAATAATGTGCTGAGGTTCATACATCATGTAAAACAGATACATGGATGTCATTCCGTAGCTCTCATATCCACCTCTATGCATAAGCTACTCTCTGCCATTGAATACCAGCACTTGCACCATAAAACGTGGGCAACCGCTCGGTGCATTCAAGGATTACTACTTTGATGTTTCAAAGTTTCTAGAAAAGTAAACTAGCTTCAGTGGTGCTATCTTTATCTATTTTACAAGAACAAACTTAGGTAGAATCAAGCCTTTGCCTATCGGGAGTTTACAGTAAAGAGCAGCCCGCAGAGTCCCACCTTTCTTTTGCTTGGTTCCCGTTTTTTCTTTCATGTGTGTTGAGGATGGGGGTTTAAAGGTGGATGATGAATCACTTAGACCTGTAGTAGGTATAATCAATATGCATCCTTAGGCAATATCTAGTATTCGTCTTAAGCCAGTTTAAAACTATACAATATGCAAATTACTATTTTGAGAATCACAATATCACAGATATGAACTGAGTCAATAGAGATGGAAAAACCTTTTTGGCATGTGGTTTTGGAAGAGGCAAAATGGGTGCCTGAGCACCTGTTGGTTCCCTTGGCAGCGATCCAGAAGTCAAAGATTTAACGACCTCTTTATCTTCATGAGCACTTCTAGAAAAATGAGATGAAGAAAGTGGATGGGCACCGGTTTGTAAAATTTGACTAGGGGTCATCAGTGATGGCTTCAAATTCTCCATATGATTCGGACTGCCTGATTCATTCATACGCAACGTAGCTAGAGGCAAACTTTCCGGAGCCAACCCAGACCCTCGGACAAAGTTTTCTCCATGGATAACTTGAGGTATGGGGTCAACATTCAGACCAGCAGTACTAGAACACTTTGCCGCCGAAGACATTGACGTTATACCAGAACTTAACAAATCCTTTGCCACACTAGGCATTGTATCCGAAATCAATAAAGCAGGATCCGATGGCAGATCTGAGGGAATCAAAATTGGTGTAGATGTCAAAGAATCCATGATAACAGGGGGCTTCAAAGAAGCAGATAATCCATAGGTTGCTGCAACACTCATTGTCAGCAGATTTGTTACAGGATGTTGCATTGGTTGCTTAATATGATATGCAGCCAGACCAGGTGGCTGTCCAGCCAATAACTGCTGTTGAGGATAAGGGACTTCCCCTGTACTCCTATCAAATTCTTGCCCATGAAATAGCATGGGCTGACCAGCAGCAAGTGTATTTATAGAAAGCAATGAACTGAATGATGTTAAGTTCTGTATGGGCTGATATGGAGAAAGACTCTGGTGGTCAGCCAACTTTGGAAGTCCTAAACTGGTGCTATTGGGTCTGCTGATTGTGGTGGCCTGTGGAGTGATTGCAGATGCAGATGAAGAGTGGAGGAAATAAGCCTGTATGAGAAGCTAATGCAACATGAATCGATGGCTTGTTTCCATCTCAAGCACCAGATCAGAACACAAAGTTGATAAAACCTGTATGATGGCTGGATCATCTGGCAGGTCTGATGTAATCTTTTCAGGTTGAGACTCTGAAGATAAAACCTGCAATTCCTGCAACATATGCACAAGCAGGTTTGTTCCTCTCCTTTAGTCAGTCATGTGAATTTTAATACAAATATTGACATAAGTACATCAAAGAAATAGATCACCAAAACGAAGCTTCAGCATCTAGTAGTTACTAATGCTAGCATGAGTCAGAATTACGAACTGCAATACTCCTGTGTTTATGAACAACTATACTACAGGATAGTCAACGATACAACATATGCTTTCTTATATGCAGTTCATGGATGGCATCAGTCCAAATATAATGCCAACCTTTATGTCACTCCCTCTGAAATTTATGTACGGGAAAACTCTGCCATCAGGAGGGACCTGAGGACCATCCTTTCTTCGCCCTTCTGTTCCAAAAGATCTCACTGCAGTAAATGAAGGGAAGATTCAGATGGTAGAATGACATTGGAAGAGCTATTTTATGTCTCTAACTGTCTACAATAACAAATATGCAGTCAAATGTTTCAGAGGCAGCTCAAACCTGAAGTAACATGCAACAATAAGAACTAGAAATTTGCTGAAAGAAACAAAACGCACCAAGACCAATAAACAGATAAAATCATTGGATCTCATCAGTTAGGATGTGCTTCACCTAGATATCCTAACTCCAACTTACGTTTTTCAAGTCCTGGGAATAAAGTATAGTTGAAATTATATTCTTAAGGTAAGTGGTAACATACAGGGAAATCACTGAAGTGACTAAGCTATGATTTTGAATTACATGAAGCATGCATGAGGCTTATCAGCGGGACAAAACTAACATATACACCTTCTTAGTTGCAGTGTGCTAGACTCCAGAAAGTAGAAGCCATTAAGCCCCCAGTACCGAGGAGTCACCACATAAGCTCTATTGCCTCCAAGTTCAAAGTAAAGCATGTATTTTTTTTATTTTTTTTGCAGCTAGTGATGTGAATACCATATCACATCCCTGCAATGAATGTGCCATGAATTTCAGGCCAAGCTTCACAAAAGCAGTTCATGCTATAAGCACAGACATTAATATTTCGTGTTACACTTTCTCTTGTTCTCTAAATATTTCTCCCATGAACTGCAACTTGCTCCTTGATGTTATAATCGCGTGATCATCGAAATTTAGTCACGAGTAAATTCGATATCATTGAAAAATTACAATCATCCACCATAGGAAAATATTTGATCTCTCACGAGCACAGTCATCCTCTTGCTTCTACCCAAGACAGGTATAAACCCTTGGCTAAGCAAAAAACTATCTTCGCACACTGACCATTCGTCTACACGGCAACGATACAGGCATGTGAGCACGCACCATCCGTCGCATAAGTCTCGCCGTTAATCTTTTTCTCTTCTTGAAACGAATTGAAACTTCAACATTCGCTCATTACAAGTAACACACCCACGAAACGTCGTCCATCCGTAATCAACGCCTCGAAAAGTTCCATCGACAACCACAACGCGGCAACTCTGATCTCTTAGGCGAGAGTCTTCGTTTCATCATCTTCCGACGGATTTGCACAACCAAATAAGTTGAGACGGACCACAACCGATGCCGATCACCATGCACGTCCTAGAGTCGACCGATCACCAACAACAACAGCAACAACAAAACGGCTCGGAAAAGCGGAACCTCGGACTCTACGAGGAGACGAAAAACGAAAAGCCAAAGAAGGTACGAAAGGTGTCGAACGAACCGTCGGCGAGGCCGATGACCACGTCCTGCGGGTCGATGCGGCAGAGCACGCCCGCGTATCGCATGTCGGACCTTGACAGCAGGCTCAAGAAGCAACCTATGTAGGAATTCGCCGCCGCCGCCGACGCCATTGTCGCCCTCCTCCGTTATGGTTCGACTCGCTCGCCTGCAAGAAAACAGTGGGGAGCAGAAGGAGGAGAGGAGACGAGAGTGAGGAGCGACGACGGGAGGGAGAAGACGGAGAGAGAGAGAGAGAGCGTGTGGCTTCTTTCGAAATCAGTTTTCTTGCCGCTAAAGGAAAATGCGGATCCCCCCTTTTTTTTTAACAAGAAAAAACTATTAAAAAACGCCGCTTCTAAACATTTTATTTATTTCGCGAAAAATAAATAATTTTAAAAATATCTTCCTAAAATGAGTGCTTGTATAACTTAAAATAATCAATTAATGAAAAAAATTTGTTGTCGATCGCAACTTATGTTCGAATGTTTTCATGGACGATGAAGATTTTTTTTCCATGCATTCATCTTTTTAAGCAATATATGGCAATTATTTTTAGGAAAATTTTCCTCCGAATCATCCATTTTTCGCAAAAAAAGCCTTATTTATAATTCTTTTTTTCTTTTTTTGGGCTTGGTAGGCCTTTTGGCTCCCATTGGTCTAGGGCGTGGACAACTCAAATTATTATCGAATTCATGTCGACTCATCGCATCGGCAATTTGTTGCATTTTCGATATAAGGTTTTGACGTGAGGTTCACACGATTTAACGATTGTAGTATATCGAGCTTAATAGATCTGACACATTTAATAGCGACTCCATCACAAAGAATCAACCCTGCTCTCTTTTCTTTTTTCTTTTTTTCTGAATCGATGACAATTTCGAATAAAATCGAGAATTCGCCTAGGGATGGAAGTAAAATGAGTTTTCGACGATTTATTTCCTTAGGACTTCATCATGATGATACCTTCTTCTTCTTTTTATTGTGTCACATAAAATTTCAAACCCGACTCATTAAAGTTTTGAGTTAATACCACGAAAAACCTTAAATTGATATACTTGTGACAAATTTACATCAAACTATTTTTTTTACCACAAAAAACCTCACACTAGTACATTTTTGACAATTTTATCCCGAACTAATTGTTTGACCACCAAAAACCCCAAACTGGTACACCCGTGACAATTTTACCCAAACTAATTTTTTGACCACTAAAAATCTCAAACTGGTACATTTGTGAGAAATTTACCCTCCGTTAGTGTCCATTAAATTGGATTAATATCACGAAAATCACAAATTGATAAACTTATGGCAAACATAGGGGCAAAACCCCGAACTGGTACACCTGTCAACTATTACGTATCATCAAACTTAGCAATTTGACAGTAAAATTTAACGGAAACTAATGGAGGGTAAATTTGTCACCAGTGTACAAGTTTAGAGTTCTTGGTGGTTAAAAAATTAGTCCAGGGTAAAATTGTCACAAGTGTACCAGTTTGGGATTTTTAGTTGTCAAAAAAATAATTCTGAGTAAAATTATCACTGGTGTACCAGTTTAAGGTTTTTCGTGATATTAACCCTAAAGTTTTTGAGTACTCATCAAATTTCAACAAACTTGATTTTGATATGCTATTTTCTTAGCAACCACGTTACCTCGTGACATGTTGTTTATAAGGGATGCAAAAAGTGGGGTGGTCGTGATCAAGCAACAAGATGACCATATTTCATGTAGATTCACTCGCAACATAGATTCACATCAAGACATAATTGAATTAGATATGCCCAAATTCGTTGCCATATGGGGATATTTTCCCAAATAAAAGATATCATACCAAAAATCCCATGAGGTAATCTTTTCCCACTCGATTTTTAATTCACACGAGTAAGTATAATCGTGATTTTCAGTAAAAGAACACTAGGAGTGCCATAACTTTAATACGACGCTCATTGTAGTACTACGACTTTTCGCTTTTGATTTTGCCGGTAGGAGAACAATGTGGAGAGAGAGATTAAGTTGCTTGACTCTGTGCGGCCTCTATTTTTACTCTCGACACACGTGGAATTTCTTTTTATTTTCTATAAAAAAAATGCCACGTAAAATTTAACATTTAAGTAAAAAGGTAATGTAATATTTAGCATTTAATTAAAAAAGTCACGCATTTGCTGGATTTTGTTATTGGGCTTTGCAAGCATAATAGTCTAGTCACTGTGAGAATAACAGCTCGTTTTGAGCCACAAATTCTTGAAAAAGTGGACACCACAACGATTTATAATTATTTGTTATTTGATTTTTTGTGGTCCAGAACAGACTGCTACTCTCACAATACATTAAAAACCATCTCGTAATCATTTCCCTTTGTCGTTAGAGGCGTTTGAGCGATCGTTTTTTGTCTGAGGTGGCACTAAAGTAATTCGGCGAAAAAGTTTTAACAGTAAAGTGAGCGCCGTATGAGAGTTATGGCATTCCTAATGTCATTTTCCTGAAATTTATCGGCGTGGTCCGGCTTTATCGGCCGAAATTATAAATCAAATATCAAACCAAATAAACCGATAAAAAAAAATCCAACCCAAAACTAAAATGAATAAAATCGATAAACCGGTTTGATTTGGCTCGGTTTATCGGTTTTAAAATCCGGCTCGCCATTTTCTTTTTCCTTTTTTTTTTCCCCCGTTTTCTTAATTTCTTTTTTTTTTAACATAATTTTCTCAATTTTCTCGAGAAAGAGGTTTTTGCGTGCTCGTCGTCGTTAGGGTTTAAGCCCCCCTGACCGAAGACGACCCTCTGCAAGACCACCGCGCGCGATCCTCCCACACCCTTCCCCGAGCTCGCATCAATGGCGACTTCCCTCTCCAAGCTCTCGTCCCGCCTCCACCGATGCCTCCTCTCGAGCCACAGAGCTCCCGCCGCCGCCGCCGCCGCCGCCGCGTCCCTGTGCACGACGGCCTCGGGACCGGACGACGGGGGCCTCGCGCCGGAGTCCGACGCGGCGGCCCCTCCTCCTCCGGCGGCGGCGTCGGAGGTGGCGTCATCGGCGCAGGAGCCGGACCAGCCGCGCACGGTCTACGACCGGCCCCTCAGGGACGGCCTCGACGTCGGGATTTACAAGGTGAGGTTCCGGTGGGCTGGCTCGGTGGTGCCTCTCGTACTCCGTAGCGTGCGTTCTGAGCTCGCGCTTCGTTTTTGTTTTCTTCGCGATGCCGGCGCGTGTATCGGCGAAATTGGCCTTTTGTGCCAGAAATGTTATGGAAATGCAACTTTTGCTGTTGTAGGTAATGGACGTTTATGTGCGTAGTAGACAATGTGTTTCTGTGGATTGGCTTCCTCTGTATTTGCCTCATGATATAGCAATCAGTGGCTAGCTGCTAGTTTCTCCGCTAAGCGCGAAAGTGTCATTTTTTTTTTCTCTTCTGGGGTTGTCAATGCTGATCTCTCCTTTTGATTTGCCTAATTGCGCTTTGTTTAGTGCGATAGCTGTGACTTTGAGGGTTTTTTGATTGGAGATTCTGCTTGCGAGGTTTGCTAGGCTATAATAATGGGGCAGGTTGGGCAAATTCCTGTTGTGAAGAGGCTGAAGAGTGGGAGGATGGTTACCCTGTTCTCAGTCGGAACAGGCGGCATCCGCAACAACAGGAGGCCCCTGCAAAATGAGGACCCCAGAGAGTATGCGGATCGATCTTCGGTCCAGTGGCATCGTGTTTCGGTCTATCCCGAGGCATTGGGGGAAATGGTCAGGAAGCATGTTAGTCCTGGGTGAGAGTCTTATCTTCCCTATATGACGTGTATCTCTGTGCAAATTGTAACTCGTTTAGTGAACTTTGGCATGTTAGTCATTATGTCCTAGGTTGCACTTGCAGTTAGCGGTAGCACATGTGGGTTGAATAGCATATGTAATGATAGGTTTGACTAATGGTCTTTGGATTTGCTTGAAGGCTTTAGTGGTTGTAAGTAGCTGACTTGTTTATTGAGGTCTCGTCGTACTAATGATAAAAGTAATATTGGTAAGTTGACCTGATAAAGCTGTGGGTTTGATGGTGAATTAATCTTATTATTGCTCATTTTGTTTGGGCTGAAGTTGAATGTAGTTACGGGATAAACTTTTGAGATGAAATTGATGACGCTGATCAGAGAACCCTTAACATGACACGTAATAGAAGGTTATACTATTCTTATGAAGAATGTGTTCCAAACACTACGTCGCTCTAAGTGCAGTAGTTGCAGACGGTAAGCTAAATAATGTATGTTCCTTTCCAAAATGTTTGAGTCAAGATTGGTTTGTGGTTTAACTTGTTTGGTGGTCCTTGTACCATGCCGTCCATGATGTTCAATCGATGCTTGATGGCTGAAAATGAAAGGTCAAGGAAGGAGCATATCCTTGGCCGAAAAATAGGAAGGAGTGTATCAATATCATTGGCCGAAACAATGGAAGGAGCATATCTGTGCTTAGGATTTGATTTGAGCTGGGATGTTGACAATATAAGATGTTTATTTGCTTAGTAAGCTGGGTTTGAGATGGAGGGGGAAAAGAGAAGTGGCGCTCTTGTAACTTATCCAGAATTAGTTTCTTGGGAGCTGTAGCTGGGCAACCTCTGCTAAAGGACCAACCCATACTTTGTAGTTTTTATTATTGTTAAATGCTGCTCTTACTGTAATTTAGTTATTCTTTCGATTGCTTTATACTTTCACAAGAATACTGACGTGCCACGCGCTTTCTTATATTTTGGTGACCGTAGCATGATCTTGTACTTGGAGGGCAATTTGGAGTCCAAAGTCTTCACTGATCCTATAACTGGTCTTATTCGACGTATAAGGGAGATTGCAATCCGTCGAAACGGTATGTGCAGTTCTGTACTTTTCTCTTTTTTAATGGTTGTATGGTTTCGGTTTACTGACATGACAGGGATATGAGGTCTTTCATTTATTAAGAAGTTTATATAATCTCTGTAATCCTTAAAGCTAATTATTCTGTCCTTGGGAAGGCCAATTTTTTTTTTTTTTGGCCATCTTTTATATGCGTTTCCTTGGAAATGAAGGTGGTGACCGACATCCATTTCACATTCCAAATTTATGAATAATCTAAGGAATTGCTAGATGGTTAAGCAAATGACTGTTTAGTACCCATCGTGCAAAAATGCCGAAGATAGTTTCTTGTTGCGTATGTAAATGTGTTGCCTAGTTTGTAGGATATGTAAACATCTCACCTAACTGCTGCAGAGTTCGTTTTGGAAATGAGGTGTCCTTGTTTTTCTGTTGCATCTTAGCATTTCTTTCAGGTGTCAAGGATGGAGGTCTTCTAAAAAAATAAGGCTTCTATTGTAGCTGTTTGGCCCATAGGTTCTAAAGTTAAGGAAGAAATGATTTCTCAAGGGAAATTGTTAGTTAGAGGACATAATCTAAGGTGCAGAAGATTTTCTTTTGTTGTGATCTTAATTCATTTGTGCGTATCATGCAGGTCGCATTGTGTTTGTCGGGAAAGGTGGCGATTCCCAGCAGACATCACAGGGGGAGATGAGAGGTGTTGGCTATTACTGAAGGAGGACGGGAGAAAAGAGAGAAAGGGAGGGGGGTTTGAATAGATGCTTGTTTTCACTCTCGTGCATTTCTTTCGAGCCTCATCTGCATCAAGACTTACAGGGCCATGCAAAAGCTGATATTCTCACTTCTTACCATTGCTCGGGTCATGGCTTACCCATGTATATTCTTTTGTCCTGGGCGCCGCTGACATTAAGGGAAACTCATTGTTATGAATCGGAGCTGATTATTGATCAATCTCTGAAATCGTCTCAGGATGACTGCAGAGATAATCTCCTAATGTCTGCCTCTTTGTTAATTTGTTTGATTTTGACTTTCCTCTGTGTTGTTCAGCATTTCTACATTTGCTGCTTCAGAGCACTCCCAAAATCTTGACACACTGTTTAAGTGTGACCTTTATTAACCAGATTATGTACAGATTGCCAGCCCATTTGGAGGCGCTCCGAGCTGAGGGTCAACACTTGATGAGCTGCAGGCAACTTAGGGCACGAATGATAACCATTATGTTCCAGAAACATTCCCAGATTCCAGGACGAGTTTTTGAGGAAAGAAACCCGTTTGATAACAACTAAAAATATTTATTTTTGGAACATAAACCCGTTTGATAACATCATAAAATTTCTATTTTCTGGAACATAAACTCGTTTGATAACAACACAAATTTCTATTTCCCGAAACAGAAATTCATTTTTTTTGAAATGGTCTCTAAAATGAAAATAAATCAAAACACCTAAATCCTAATAAAGCTTTAAAGGCTTATTTATTCAAAGGATTGTGTTGTTTTTTAAGGTTTTAGGGTTTTTTATACGTAAAGACCCATTTTGGGGGTTAAACCCCTTTTAGGGGTCAAAACCCATTTTAAATCCCTAAATTAAGGAGTCTTAAAAATATCATTTGGGTACCTCAAAAAATTTAAATTTAATTCAAAGTGGGTGGCCACAAGTATTTTAAGCTATTTTATAAAGTTTTAAAATTTTTGATTTTTTTTGAAAAAATTCACCAAATTTCCTATTTTTTTCCGAAATCTGACTTTTTTTTTATTTTCTGGAAATTTTTATGAATTTTTCTAGAATTTTTCAATTTTCATGGATTTTCTGAATTTATTTGAGTTTTTTAGGAATTTTCTGGATTTTCTAATTTTTTTTTATGAATTTTCCGATTTTTTTTTATTTTTTTCTGATTTTTCTATTTTTTTAATGATTTTTTAAATTTTTTTATAATTTTTTTTTATTTTCCCGCTAGGAATGAATCGGACCGAACCAGTTCGGACTAGTTTGACCAGGTCTGACTGGGCCAAATTTAAGAAGAGATGTATTTTGAAGAGAGAAGACACGTTCTTTTAGAAATGGTTTTTATTTCTCGTTCAGAAACAGAAAACCTACTTTTTTTTGTTTTGATTTTTTGTCCAGAACTAGTTCTGGAACAAAAAGTTGTTCCAGAAATAGAAATATGGAATTGTGTTACCAAACGGATTTCTGTTCCAAACCTGTTTTCAGGAATAGAAAATTAGTTCTGAACAGAAACAGAATGGTTATCATTCGCGCTTTTAGTCACTCGTACACACCAATCAAGAGGGGTGTTCGAACCATGAACCCAATTCCCATTCGAGTCGGGAGAAGTACGCCAGCGCCATGTTGTTGCCTATCTTAAAGAAGCTTAACTAGGTGAACCTAAAATCTTTTGGAGAACTCTAGAGCACTGTAGCGGTGAAGCTTTGGGAGTTTCAACGCGTTCTTGAACACTTGATTCTCTATGCATTAGACATGGGGTTGAGGTACAAGCTTCGCTACCTCCACAAGCAACTACGCTTTCCATGAGGAACAAAGAAAGAGAGACTTATAACATCAAGTGATTGCAAAAGCTATGTCCTTGCTTATTCAATCGACACTCTCCGTCGTCTTCTCCTTACTGTGATTCTGTGAATTTGTATCGATATCCGTTTGATGAAACCACAAGAACGTGGCACATCGTGGTTGTTGAAGTTATAACATACAAAGTTAGAAGGCAAAAGCATTCTAAAACAAAAAATTTCCAATAAGCACTAAGGTTAGCGAGCTCCGAGCCTAGGTATGTTGATCGCCTAGTAGTTGACACCCTGATGATGGATTTTGTGCACATCCAACCCACAAACCCCGGAAGAGTTTCCTTCATAGTTCATAGTATAGGCATCATCAATTAATGGAGCCAACTGATTACAAAATAGATAATTACACAAATGATCGATGAACTTTAACTTAACATACAGTGTTGTACCTGAACTTTTAATTTATTCAATGTGGTCCTTGAACTTTAATCCAATGTGTATTGTCATATGTTAACTTTTAATTTGTTTAATGTGATCCCTGAACTTTTGATAAATGTTCAATCTAGTCCCTAGACTATACGTAAATATCCAATATCATCCTTCCAGTAATTCAACTTCATGGACAATATTTAATATTTTTATATAGTTTATGAACTAAATTGAACATGTACAAAAAGTTTATGAACCACGTTGAACAAATTAAAAGTTTAGAAATGAAATTGCACATTAGACTAAAATTCAGTGACCACGTTAAATAAATTAAAAATCTATATATGACATTGCATATTTGGCCAAAATCAAGGACCATCTATGCTATTTTAGGTAACAAACGGCTTAATAGTGAATTCATTATGATCTCAAAGCAGGGTTGGTTAAAAGTTCTCCAACTCTATCTCTCTCTCTCTCTTTGCAGGACCCTACAGTTGCTGTGTGGGGGCTTGGCGTAGAGCTAGGTCTGTGAGTTCAGTCTGGCGACTGCTGTGAGAGTGAAGAAAGCAACCAAAGCGGCCAAAGCGTTGCTTGGGCTCGAGAATAATGAAGAGAGAACAAAGATCTGTTGTTACTTTAGCTTTAGTTACCATTTTGTGTCACATTATACACAGCTCACCGGTATAATGCAGTGTCTAGAATCGGCGCTAGACCATGAAAATAATCTCCCAGAGCTGCTTTAGTTAAGTTGCCTAACCAGGCACATGAAGCCTTCTCTTTGAATTTCATCAACCAAGCATATGAGTTCGACGTTCTAATGTAATTTTCTCGAACACAACCAGGATCTCAACGGCAAGTAGAAAGAGGAATGACGAACGTGGACTGGTTTCACCAACTATGCAAGTCGATAGAATCGGACACGGCACAGGATCCTCGAAAGCTAGAACCATGCCGTCCCGCGAACTTCTTTCTTTCTTAATGTGCATGTGATAGCACCGATTGATTTAAATGAATATACGCAATAATTTCCTGTTCCGATCACATCTATGCAGGACACAAAAGGTTGCATCATGAATGTGCATTCATTGTCATCGTGCACCTTCAATGTAGTAGGCTAGAAGTTGAAATCCACAATAAAGAGGGGAAAGCTAATCCCTGAGCCGAGAAGAGATGAATAGAACTGCTCAGTGCTCACTCAGAAAGGGACCGAGAAACGAAAACCAGAACTGTATCCCCGCTTGGTCTGAACCAATCTTGGTCACTGTTTTGTTAGGCGTCGCGCAGCAAAGGAGCATGATAGGTCTGACCCTCGAGCGCAAAAGAGCTTGTCAAACAACAAAAGCTAAGCAGCTAGTTTCTTGATGACAAGCCTTCAAGGGCAGAGAGAGAGAGAGAGAGAGAGAGAGAGAGAGAGAGAGAGAGAGAGGGAAAGAGAGACACTGAGCGGTGGCATTATACCAAAGAAGATAGTGGAAAACGACCTCCCATATGTTCCTTTTAGCACTGCGCAACAGAGTACTGCCCACTGTTTAGATTTAGATTACAGCTCTCCCTCTCTCTCTCTCTCTCTCTCAAAAGATGATAGGGTGGTCCAAAGTTTTAGGCACCCAAAAAGCTTGTAAATGCTCTTCTCTCTCTCTCTCTCTCCCCTCCCCTTCCCTTTGTTAACTTGTGTACTTGCGATACTGACGATGTTTTCTCGTGGTGGTTTGAGAAAAGGGAGCACGACTGGATGTAAACCCAAGTAATCCCTGTTTACAGGCTAATCAAGCAGTTCGAGTGCTTTATTCTCAAACATGCTCATCGGGAAGACAGTGTACCTGTGGTTTGATTAGCGAATTTCATCTCGAGGGACAATGACACAAAGGGTTTTTGAACTATTAGTAAATGTTAAATCAGGTCCTTCCGTTCGCTCCAACAACAATCCATCCATTATTTGATAATTTGGATTATTATATATCGAGTTGGATTTTAAAAAATGATGAGTCAATATGTCCACATTTTTACTTATCTACTATAGAAAAGGAAAAATAAAGAACTAAGATGTTAAAATGTCCATCATTATTTAAACGATGTGAATTATTATATCCTAATTTGAGATAAATATCTTACGTTTTTTTTTTGCTAGAATATGAATATCTTACGTTATGATCCACATGTAACTTTTTTTTTTGTCTATTGTTTAAACTTAATCAGATTGAAAGCCACATCAGCAAATTATATTAAATTGAATTAATGGAATGATGACATTGAGCACTTTTATATAGTTTAGGGGACTAGATTTGACATTTATCATATAATTCAAGGATTATATTGAACAAATAAAAAGTCTGGAGATGACACTGCATACTGAACTAAAGTTCGGGGACCATCTGTGTCATTTTCCCTTACCTCGACTAATACACGTGTTATCGGTATCAATTCTCAAGCCCCTTCGGCTCTAGTTCCCTTGATTCTAAGAGATCGAGAGGTTTATTTTTGTCACTGCGTTCATTTAACTTTTAATTTTTTTTAATTTCATTGATTATTATTTTAGAAATCATTTGTGTGATTATCTTGATAATCAACCGACCGGACGATGAGTGATATTAAAAAGAGTTCAAGATCCAGACACGTGCATCTCCTTCGTTGATGATTGCTTGTAATATTGTCAACGGCAGGGGAAGAAAATGCCAGCGCCACGTCATGTGCATGCAATTGTGAGCCAAGGAAAGGTCACTGGCAAAGTGCATGGAGCCTCTGTCAGTTCCCCCAGCGTTAGGGTGAAAGTGAACAGCCCATTAGCTTCCTCTATAGGCTCTTAGTACAGTTGCAGAACACAATGAAGTCACCAAGAGCCAGAGCCACATGCACCATGCCCAGATTTAAATGCTCATCCAACCATTTTTTCTAACACTTCATCAAAACAAATAAAAGAAAAAAAAAATCAATGGGTTCGTTTCTAATTAAGAACCGATTCAAAAGATCATCACGAGCATCGTGCGTTTCTCTCATGACGTGTAAATTTCTTACCATGCACGCGATGCGTACCCTGATTTTTTAAAAGGACAAAAAAGATAGTGCTCCGTTTAGCTTATGAGTACGTGCCTTAGATCCTTCGTTTGGTCACTAGATCAAGGGAATGTGGTGACAACCACCATGAATGACTTGCTGCAAGAAAAAGGAGAGTGGAACTTGGGCCCCTAGCTACCGAAGGAGAAGGCATCAATAAATCCAGTCTTGTGTCTCGGCACGCAACACCTACATGCATGCATGCATGGCACGTCTCACTATGACACCCCCGTTTACCTATTGGTCCCCCGATAAGAACCCTAGCTTTATATTACTCACAAACAAGAATTTGTATATGCACTAAGAGATAGAATAAACCTCTTTCGCGTGCGAAGTAATATGCGACGGGCTCCTATCGAACGCTTGAATATGATTCGATTATTAAAATATTTTTTTACAAGATGGAATTCTATGTCTATTGAACGTTTGGTATGAAAGATAAGCATCCGTGCTTGCATCCCCAAAAGTAACGTCACGACGAGTCCTGGCGTTTTAACCGGAACTAGAAATCCTTGTCCCCAACGACCGATGTCTCTTTGATCCTCCTGCCAATCTAACATAAATTCTTCCCCAACAGGAAAACAGAACCACATGCAAAAGAAGAGCTGGAGCCAAAGGTCACCTCGTACTTTGCGAGAAGAAATCTCCCGATGCCATCAAAAGAGCCCACCCCTCCATTTTCACTTTCGCAACTGAACTCATAGTACATTCTTGGCATTTGCGATCTCTCCTTTTCTTTTCTGAAAAGTTTTTAAATTTTCTTTGAAGAAAGTGATTTTTGGTACTTGTTTTCGTTGCAGAAAAGAGACTCCGGATTAGATCTTCCTTGTCCTGTGTAGTTTCTTGCTTCACTGTTTGTGGGATCGGTACGGAAGTCGCATAGTGGAGCAGTTCATAATCCTCCATGTTTTACACTCTACTCGGTCTGATGGGAGCTTCTCTTCCTGTGCTGTCGGTGTTTTCCGGGAAGATCAGACGTTCTGGCCATTGCTTTTCTTTCTTGTCATGTTCTTCTCTTTATGGTGGTGTGACCTGTGATGAGCTTAGCGTGGCCCTTTCGTAAACAGATTTCTGTCTCCCTCATGACTTTTGAAAGGGTTGATATATACGAGTTCTGACTAGTGCTAGTTACTTCTTCACTGATCTTTGTGGCCTTTTGTGTTGGATTTGGCCATGAAGATGTCGTTTAGTCCTCCTCTTTGCTTCTTGATCATGCTACTCTTGTTGTCCTTGTCCTTGTTCGGTGTTTCCTGTAGAGGACAAGAACAAGAGAATGCTTCTTCAGGGGCTCCAATGGAGAGAGGAGAGCAAGAGGCACTATACTATGCAATTCAGGGTTTTGTGGGCAAGTGGTGGAATGGCTCTGATTTGTATCCTGACCCTTGTGGGTGGACGCCAATTCAGGTACTTCACTACTCTATGACTAACATGAAAGAGATGATGGAGATCGGAGATAATGTTACCAGCATTTTAGTATGCATCGTCTCAGTTTCATAGGACATTGAACATCTTGCGGGAAAAACATGCAAATGCAAACACCATATGTCTTATGCATTACTTTTTGAGGTTCTTGTGGGAAAAACATGCAAATGCAAACACCATTGCTTGATCTTGTAACTTAGCTCACTAATGATGTCTAGTGAGTTCTTGGAGTTCCCCACGTGCAATTGTCAATACCAAGAAACCCTTGAGTTCCAAACCACATTTTGAAATTTCCATTACAATGCATGTATCTTGGAATCTTCCCTAAAGAAATTCTCCCTTTATTTTTGGTTTATTTTACCGCGCTCTACTAGCGTAGTTCCAAATTACACAAAAAGTGTACTAGGATCTGCGATTTGTCCAATAGTTTACTTCCGTTTACTCTCAATCGAACATTTTTTGCCCAAGTTACTCAGCCAAGACCTGCAAATCTATATAATAAGTACCGTAAAAGGATTTGGCAAAAAATGATAAAAGGGCCGTAACCCAATCCATGAGTTAGATCATTGAAAATGAGCTCAGATTCGTAAGTTCTGGTAATCCAACTGAACTTCATCAATCTTGAAGGTCATATTTGATTCACCAAGCAATGGCCTTTGGCATTTGTGTCCTAGTGCCCAAGAGCCATTACTCCTTCTGCAACTCATAAGAGAAATGAGAAATTCTAGAAATCAATACCATTTCCAATTATCGATCAGACTTAGAGTCACTAAGCTCTTCTCGTGTGACTTTTTATTTTTGCCAAATTTTTGGCAGTTCGGATTAACGAAGCTCAAGTGCATCACCTTCTTCAACAAACACCTTAATACACCATTGCTTAATCCCGTTCTCCTTTTTCTTTTTCCTTTTCTAGTCCAAAAATAGTGCTCTCTTTTCGCTAGAAATTATAGTGGTTTTTTTTTCCCTTGAAATCTGCTGGTATAGTAGTTCTCTTCGGCTCAAGATTCATAGGCTTGGTTAGAGGAGGCATTATAATTTAGGTCTGCAGTGTATCCTCCCACAGATATAATTTCAAAGTGTTAGCTTCAAGAAACATGGGAAAGAAAGACGAAAAGGGAGGTAAAAGAAAAGCATATGAAGAATGTGAATGGCGTTAGCCTGGGACTGAATAGGGGATACGAGGCAGTTTGTAGCTCCCTGCTTTTGTAATTGGGATTACACCCTGGATAATGATCCTTTTCTTCTTTCTGCAAAATAACAAGTTACCTTCCTGTGTGATGGAGCACAAACCTCAAGAATACATATGTTCATGTACACGTCTTGTCACCTTCACTCGCCAATTGTATCTTAACCTATGGAATGAGTGCTGCATGAAAAAGCCAACCTTGAATTTTTTGTTTTCCATGGTCAATGCAGGGAGTGTATTGTGATCTCTACAATGGCTCGTGGTACGTGAGCTCCTTGAACATCGGGCCGGTCTATGAAAACTCTCTGAAATGCGCCCGAGATGCAGAATTCACGCATCACTTGTTCGAGCTCAAGCGCCTCACAACACTCTCCATCTACAGTTGCTTCTTGTCCCCTCACCGAAACCGTGTCAGAATCTCCAGCTTCAGCTGGGGGACTTTATCAAACACCTTGGAGTCGCTAGAGTTCAGATCAAACCCAGGACTCATCGGAACCATTCCCACCAGCATCGGCAGCCTCAAGCAGCTCCAATCACTGGTCCTTCTCGAGAATGGACTAACCGGGTCTTTGCCAATGGAATTGGGCAATCTGATCAACCTGAAAAGGCTCGTCCTTTCGTCGAATGGGTTCGTGGGTCACATCCCACCAGCTCTCGGGGGATTGAGCAACCTCTTGATCCTCGACTGCAGCAGGAACAACCTATCCGGGCCATTGCCGTTGACCTTTGGGGGGTTGACCTCGCTCCTGAAGCTTGACCTGAGCAGCAACAACCTGGACGGACCTCTGCTCCGAGAACTCGGGAACATGAGGAACCTCACGCTCTTAGACCTCGGGGGCAACGAAATCTCAGGTGGGTTGATCCAAGACATCCAAGAAATGGTCTCCTTGAAGGAGATGGTGATGTCCAACAACCCAACGCTGCGCGGTGACCTCACGGGCATTGAATGGGCGAATCTGGAGGATCTTGAAGTGCTGGACCTGTCCAACACCGGGCTGAGAGGCCACATCCCAGAGTCCATGACCCAGCTCAAACGGCTAAGATTCTTGGGACTCCGTGATAATTCTCTCTCGGGGACTCCTCCTCCCGACCTCGCATCGCTGCCTCGCATCAGCGCTCTATACCTGAACGGGAACAACCTGACGGGCCAGCTCGATTTCCCGGGCGCGTTCTACGGCAAGATGGGCAGGCGTTTCGGTGCGTGGAACAATCCCAACCTCTGTCATCGGCTTCCATTAACGTCGTCGTCGTCATCACCGGCAGCCAATGCGCCTCTTGGGGTGAGGCCGTGCTCTCGAGGAGGAAACGCCAGCGGCAGCAGCAGCAGCAACCGCGCCGGGTCGCCTCTACCGATTGCCAAGATGAGCGAAGGATACGACGATCCGCATCGGGATTCGCAGATCGAGGTCTCTTCGGGATGCCCGAGTTGGGGCTGGAGAGGGAAGGAGACGATGATGTTGGCGGGTGTCGTAGCCATGATCGCCATGTTCGCGTAGGTTGAGAGAGATTTAGAGGGAAATGCTTCATATGAGCTTGTGGTGCTGTCATGCAGAGATATATATGTAGCTTTGAATTAGAAGAAAGATCAAAAGGTTACTATCTTAGAATAGATGATGTTTGTGGGTTCTATTTTCTTACTCAATCGCTGGGGATTGAAAATGGACCGACCCGGTTCTTTAAAAGCTCATTTGCAATCTACTACGTGGATTCATTTAGAATTTTATTTATCTTAGGGCTCATTCGAGAAAACAAAAGAAATGAGTATCGAAAAGCGTCACATTTGCCAACAATCTTAAGCACCGGAAAAAAAAAAATGTTATTCGGCAATAGCTAAAAGTTTAATACACAACATCACTAACATTTTGGGAAAATTACCAAAAATAAGTGATAAACCTATTGTATTTGTGCCAATTCAGTCCTAAGTTTTTTAATTGTATCAATTGAGTCATAAACCTCTTGACAATTGACCAATTTAGTCATTCCCACTAATTTTGACCGGAAATTGTTGACGTGAACACCGGTCAATCTAAGAGGCATGGCCAACGCTAACATGGACAATTTTTAAAAAGATCGAATTTTTAAATAATTTTCTTTCTTTTTATTTTTATTTCTTCTTTCGCCGGTCACCGAACCTCGGCGACGGCCGCTGACCGGCCACAGGTGAGAGCCGACGAGGGCTGACCTCACTAGCCTCTGGCGAGGCTCGAGCTTCTGCAAGGCTGGCAAGGTTGAGCCTTGCCCGATCCTGGCAAGCTCGAGCCTCGCCGAAAGCCGGCGAGATTGGCCCTCGTCTGTGCCCCGTCGAAGGCCATTGCCGAGGTCCGAGACAAGCGGAGGTAGAAGGAAAAAGAAAATAAAATGTAAAAATTATTAAAAAATTCAAAAATTTTTAAGACGACATAGGTGCATCGTGTCAACACATTTGCTTTTGCATTGATTAATTCTGTTCTCTCACAATCTTTCCGGATGGTAGGTTGAGCTGTAAGAGCACTTATAGTTGCTTTGAAAGAGTTAAAAATTGATGGAAATGAATGTTGTTGGTTTTTTTTTTTTTCCTATCTGTAGTTCTCCTCACTTTCTGACTTTTTGCTCTGCCTCTGAGACAGAGTACAAGAGTCGAACCCCGTACCTGAGATACTAGCGTCCCTCACCCCCCAATCCCTTTACTAGTAGGGTCGCATGCCTATTGGCTAAATGAATCTTGTTCACCAACACGTCGGTGTTTAATTGAATATGATATTTCAATTTACTTGCCTTGTTTTTTATTTGGTGAGAATTTACTTGCCTTGTTAACTTGAGGCCAATTGAGAAAATAGCGGTTCTCACAAAGTGTGGGAAACAAAATTGTTCAATATATCATTTACTGATGGCAGTTGCATACATTATTTCATCACGAATCGAAAAACTATTTTAGGCAAAAAAGGTCGATTCTTTCGTTGTTGAGCATAGAAAGGCAATAAAATTAGAGTTAATACCATGAAAAACCCCAAACTGGTATACCTGCGATAAATTTACCCTCCGTTAAGTTTGATTAATACCATGGAAAATCACAAATTGATGAACTAGTGACAAATAAAGGGGTAAAACCCCAAACTGCTACACTCGTTGACTACCACATATTATCCAACTTAGCAATTCGATGGTAAAATTTAACGGAAACTAACAGAGGGTAAATTTGTCACAAGTATACCGGTTTAAGGTTTTTGGTGGTCAAAAAATTAGTTCGGCGTAAATTTGTCACAGGTGTTCGAATTTGGGATTTTTCGTGGTATTAACTCTTATAATTAACAATTACTGTCAAAAAAGTCAAGAATTCCTTACGGTTTAAACAATTCTATTGTCTCCTAGTTGCTGTCTACTTCTCCTTACTGGGGACTTATGAGGGATACAAAAGTGACTATAAAATACAAAGAAAAACTAATCTCAAAATTTTAGACTTCACAAAGGAGGATGATGATGTAACGAGAACATACTGTACAATAATAGCACAACTATTTTAATCTATGATTACCACGAGCTGATGCTCATTTCCATGAATTACACCCAAAACCTTACCTCCTCGCTCGTTGTGGAGTGCCCAATTCTCGCCCTTCAGCAGTGAAATATTCCATAACAAAAAGAAATCATGTTAAATGCGATGAAGAAACCAAGTTTGATTGTAAGCGGAACATGAAAACTCATTTGCATATCTTACATAACAAGAAGTAATGCTTCACTGAAATCAAAACATAAAAATTGATCCGCATCATTTTCTATGACAAGACTTGTGATTAGATTTGTCAATATGGGTCATAAACCTATTTCTTAACCCATATATCTATAAATGAATTATAAATGAGTTAGTTATGTTCATTAAATGGGTCATAAATGGGTATAAACATAATATGAGTATTAAATGGATCGTAAATGGGTAAAAATGAGTTTACAACTTATTTAAACTCAACTCATCTCTCTCGCCCTCACACAATGTCATACTCACTCACTCCACGTTCTCATTTCGATTTGGGCATGAGTTTTCCTAGATTGAGTTAAATATAAAATTATTTTATGGGTCTGGTCGGGTATGTGTCATTATATTTTCATTACATGAAAATGGGTCAAATCGGGTTCAATGGATCTATTTGGGTCAGATCATTTTCGACCCAACCCAAACCCGACCTGACCCACCCATTTGACAGGTCTACTTGCGACACAAATCCCCTACGTTTTTTTTTTTTGTGTTGACTCCGGTCACTATGAACAAGTTGATTCCAAACTACTTGAATAATGTGGATGAACGGCTGAACAAGTTTATGTTTTGCATTCTTTCCATTCGCATCAGCTTCATTCCAACAGTCGGGACAAGCCAACCGCCAAGAAATCCCAGCGATGACAAATGTGAAGATGACAAGAAAAACAATTCGGCGAAAATGTTGTATGCGATGCGGGTCCCGCGGCCTCTCCTTCCGACACAATTCTCCCCCCTCCGCCAACAGTGTGGGCTACTCGAGCTGGACTAGCAAGTCCTTCGTGTGGTCCAGCTCCGCACACCTCTACACAAGGCACAACGAAGCTGATGGAGTGGGCACCGGCAACCAAAAACACGAGCACCTAGGCTGGAGGAAGAAGAAAGTGAAAGAAAAAATTATAAACAAAAAAGTTCAAAATTCAAAAAAATTAAAATATCATTAAAAGTTGTTAATGTCATTACCGACGGTGCCACGTAGGCCGCCCGACGTCCACGTCAGCAATATTGGGCCAAAATTAGCTGAAAGGACTTAATTGGCATAAAGACAAAAAGTTTATGACTGAACTGGATCATAAAAAAGGTTTAAGACTAAATTGGTACAAATGCAATAGGTGTATGACATTTCTGACACTTTTCCCCATTTATTGGCCATGCTAATAAATTGTTTGCATCATAGAATATGTTTTTACACACTTCGATATATGTATATTTAAAATTGTTCTTACTGGTTCAAATATGAGAGTCAATTTCTCAAACATATTATGTCATGCGATATATTTGGAAAAATCGACGAGGCCTTACGATGGTCGTTGGAGGGAAAAAGAAAAAAGAAAGAAGAGAAAAGGACAAAAAAAAGTAAAGAAGGAAAAGAGAAGAAAAGAAAAAATTAATAAAAATTCGAAAAATACCAAAATATTTTAAAAATTATCTACGTCAATGCTGGTCGTGCCCTTTAGAATGGCCGGCGTTCATATCAGCGATTTCCGGCCAAAATTTGCTGGATGGATTTAATTGGTAAAACGTGAAAAGATTTAAGGCTCAATTGGCACAATTAAAAGGTTTTCAGACTAAATTGACAAAAGTATAATAAGTTTGGAACTTTTTAAACAATTTTTCCATACGTTCTTCAATAACCCACTCAACACAAATACCATATCTTGTGCTCTCTTGAAATAGCGGCCGGTCTGAATTGCTCCTCAAAACTCGATAACTCGTACAGTCACACTATAGTTCGATGGAGCTGAGTGAAAACGATTTAACAGGCTCATTCGTTGTTCCTTTATATTCTTCGAATTACTCGAGTTTTTAACATTCGAGTTTTTTTTTTATCTAACTTGATATGTTAAACACTTTAAGAACATAGAAATGATGACTATAGTGCTTTGTACCAACACTTGGGACATGTAGGTAGGTATGATTTTCCTTTAAAAAACAATCAAATTGGACTGCTCATTGTGTGCTGACTTCAAACCTGGGAAAGCCGAATGAGGTGCAGATTAGAAAACGTGAAAGTAAAGATAAAGGTGCTAGGTTAAACCAGTGATTATTCTTCCAAACATAAAGCTAAGGACAAATGCATAGTTTGCCATCATTCATCTAACGTGGTTTTAGCCCATTACAATGCCATAAAAGCTTAGGACAAATGCTCACACTCCATTCCCAACCGTCCATTAATCTGACCATCTAATGATTGTGCACTAACCATTAAATCATCTTACCGACAATATACTATGATCATTTAATCAAATATGATGTGCGACAAATAAGGATTGGTGGATGATAACTGGAGGTGAGCACTGGGTCCCGTTCAACCCGAGAACCGGTGAGGAGCAACCGGTTTAGGGAAAACGGGTCCGATTTTTGGTTCCACGAACTAAGAATCGATTTAAGGCCAGTTCGGTTCCTGGTTCAAAGGTCGGAAGAAGTGATTCTACCTGGAACTGGTCTACACTGGTTCCTAACCAATTTTGTTGTCGAGTTGAACCGGCTTTGAAACTTCTTTTGAGAAAAAAAAAATACTTTTTTATCCAACGAGAATCGAACCATTGCCTGCAACATGAAGAAACAACATTACCATTATACGATTTTGTAGTAGAATGATGCAACTATTATGTTTAATTAGATGAATTTGATTTATTAGACAAAATATTAAATGGGTCGCTTCCCAGCGATTCAAGGACAAACTGGTTCGATTCGAGGTTCCAAAAAAATTTGAAATCAGAAATCACAGGATCAGTTCCCTACTTTAGGCTGAGAATCCAACTACTCAAGAGAGGATCACCCTTAGTAATAACCGATTGGGATCTTGCATTCCAAAATCGTGAAATTTTAATGTTTGATTTTTTTTCATCATAATAATTTGGGCTCACGCCACATTAAAT